GTTATGATAGAAATATTTGATTTTCTTGTTAATATAAGTAATGATAATTAGTTAAGTTATGTAGGTAATATTTTGTTTTCTTGGTAATTTGAGTAATGTTAATTCCATTAGTAATATCGATTTTGTTTGAAGTAATTTTGATTTGTGTACATGTACAGCGCTTTGAAACTTTTGTCACAAGCGCTATTTAAATTTGTCATATTATTATTATTATTCTTATTTCATTTTAGACATAAACTCTAATCCATCCTTTGATATTTAAACTGCACTACTCCCATTGTGTGCTTTTTCACACTCTCCCTGATCTATAAAGACTGCTTTCTTTATTTGATCATCAACAGAAGCGAAAGGCTAGGCCACGAACTTTTCGAAGCGTGACCAGATTATAAGTATGCTTAAATGGGGTATTGATGTATGTAGAAAAAAACAGGATTAAGATCCCATGCAACGCTTCGAAATTTAAAAGAAGAATAAGAAAAATAAAGTTGAGATTCAACCTTTATGTCTAGACGTTGCATAATGCAATTCGTTTTGGTATTTTATTCCATCTCAGAGTGATTATAGAAGTTATTTTTAAGGATAATAAAGATAAAGCTGTCCGGGTTTTTAAAGATAATGCGTCAAAACAAATCGAACAAGCTGTTTATTTCTTTATTCATGGTCTGTTTCTACTGTTTATCTATTTTCATTGCCAACCCTCGAAAACGAATTTAGTATGCATTTCACAGAGGAAGTTTGCATAGGAGAACTATATATATATATATATTATATACAAATTATTTATTGGGCTTATTTTGCTTTCTAATGGATCCGTACAATATGGCACAGCTTTAGGGGCCTGGAAGAGCCCCTACCAGGGGTTCCAGGGCGGAGCCCTAGGATGCTCTCGAGTTTATTTGACTTTCAAGAGAAAGTGTCTCTAAGATATAAAGAGAGGTTATTTCTTCAATGAAGTGAAAGGACTCATGAAAATAAAATAGCCCTTTCATTTCATTTTAGAAATAAACTCTAATCCATCCCTTGATATTTAAATTGCACTGCTCCTACTTCGTGCTTTGTTCAAACTCCCCTTGATCTATAAAGGGTGCTTTCTCTATTTGATCATCAACAGAAGCAAAATGCTAGGCCACGAACTTTTCGAAGCGTGACCAGATTCAAAGCATGCTTAAATTAAGATTAAGGATTAAGATCCCATGTAACGCTTCGAAATGTAAAGAAGAATGAGAAAACTAAAGTTGAGATTCGACCGTTATGTCTAGACGTTGCTTAATGCATTTCGTATTGGTATTATCTCTCGTCTGACAGTGATTAGAGACGTTATTTATATGGATAATAAAGATAAAGCTGTCCGGCGGGTCTTTGAACATAATGCTTCAAAACAAATCAAACAAGCTGTTTATTTCTTTATTCATGGTCTGTTTTTACTGTTTATCTTTGCCAATCCTCGAAAACGAATGTATTATGCATTTCACAGAGGAAAGTTTGCATATTGATGAAACATATGGGCGCAGGCCAAGATTTAAACCCACTCAAGTGTGAATTTGGCGCATCTTCACTCATCTTCTTCAACTAGGAAATGGACTTCATTGTAGCCTTAGGACAGGATGGTGAAATAAAATTGATAAAAGAACATCATAATCAGATTATCCGACCCCGGAAACCCCATGAATTCATCAACTTTTATCATACTGGTCCTTTTCCTTTTGAAACTACGCTTGACCTTTAACTCGGATGGCGGCCATTTTTTATTTGGCCAATATGGCCAGCATGACAGCCCAAGGAGACCTGCAATAGTGATACAAGCAACATCAAAATCAGATTCTCTGACCCAGAAAACCCCCTTACTATATAATTTTTTTTATCATTTTAGCTCTTTTCCTTTTGGAACTACTATTGATCTGGAACTATCAAATGGCGGCCATTTTGGATTTGACCAATATTACCAGTATGACCCGAGGAGATCTCAAATCGATGAAAGTATATCATAATCAGATTCTCTGACCCCGAAAACCCCATAAATATATAAACTTTTATCATACTAGCCCATTTTCTTTCGTAACTACACTTGACCTGTAGGTGACACGACATTTGCTCCTGCGACAATTGCTCCGGGCTTTATTTCGTCTAAGATGTAGGGTTAGGGTTAGGGTTTCAATAGGGTTTATGTTAGGTTTAGGGTTAGGTTTAGGGTAGGGTATAGTGTTGAATCCAGGGTTGAAGTTAGCCATTCGATTAGTGTATGAAATTTACAGCGGAGCAATTGTCGCCGGAGCAAATGTCATGGAATCGACCTGTAACTATCAGATGGCGGCCATTTTGGATTTGACCAATATGACCAGTATGGCAGCCCCAAGGAGATCTTAAATTGATGAAAGAATATCATAATCAGATTCTCTGACCCCCAAAACCCCATAAATATATAAACTATTATCATACAACCGCTTTTCCTTTTGGAACTACGCTTGACCTTTAACTCAGATGGCGGCCATTTCGAATTTGCCCAATATGGCATACCCAGAGGGTACCCTTCTTGGCGTCCGGAAGAAATCGTAAAAGTATGGTATAATCTACCTCTGGGCCAAATTTGGTGCTTTTAGAAGAATCTGCACCAAACAACCCCTATTTAGCCCTAACAGCCTCCACTATATTGACTATGTATATGTGTGGACTAGAGTACGGACATTCGGTGCGGCAGGCGGACTATTGGTGCGAGACCTCTTCCGCATGGATTGTCCGTCAGACATTTGAGGCGCGCACGGAATGTCCGACACGGACATTCTGCGCGAATAAAATCCGCACCGATCGTCCGCTCTCGATCGATCTCTAATAGTCGGACGATCGGTGCGGATTACATTCTACGCGGTCACACCGGCCATACGTAAATGGCAGTGACGGTAACGACGAATTAGGAGGAAGGGGTGCATACGTGAACTACAAGCGTATTGGGGATGATCATACTATCATTTTAGAGTGTGCAATCTGGGTCAGAATCCAGCATAATATATTTATAAAAAAGAGGTTCACATAAAAGCACTCATGATAAAGCCGCGCCCGGCCCCTACAACATCATTTTGGATTTTCAGATGATGGGGCGGGTGGCAGGGGTAGGGGGCAAAGTTCGCCCCACTCTTCAAGTACCCCCCCCCCCAAAAGGGCCACTTTTACTATGTAAAGAAGTGCCCCTTCCCCTTTTTAACTCGGATAAGCGCACATTTCATCAACACATGTGCCCCCTTTCCTATCTGATAAGGGCTATTTAGAAAAATGAGGCCCTTCATAAATAAAAAGTGTCCCTTTTCATCTCTGGTAAATGACCATTTTCATATATATGAAGTTAATTCGTTTCACTTCAGTGCGCTCTTCACCTCCGATAATTGCCCCTATTCGAATCTGAGAGATGCTCATTTTACCTTGAAAAGTACCCCTTCCCCTCCTGATAAGTACTCTTTTCATCTATGATGGGTGCCCATTTTCACCTTTGCTAACTGCCCTTTAATTTTGAATCGTGCCCCTTTTCCTTTCTATATAGGGACCTATCCCCTTTTCATAAATACCCCTTTTCACCTCTGATAAATCAATTTCTGATGGATGCCCCTTTTCCGTCGACAAATGCCCATTTCCCATACTCATAAGTGCCCTATCTCACTTCTGGTGAGTGCCTCCTTTCAGGTGTAAGAAGTGCCCAGTTTGAACCTTTGATAATTACTCTTTGTACCTTGACACATGCTCCTTTTCTTTTCTAATAAGTGTCTTTAACCCTTTCGATATGTGTCCCCTTAACCTCTCATCATCGGGGGGGGGGGGGGGGGGCACGTGCCCCCCTAACCTGCTCATCATTAGTCTTGCACCAAATTTAAAGCGACTAAGAGTAATTTCCCCTAAAGCTCGCTCGCTCGCTCGCATTTATAGATGATACAATTATATGTCACTTTAAAACAAATGTTTTTTTAGTCTTCCGTGATGCTTATAACCCCATCATGATTTTTTTTTTCTTCCTCTTTATAAGATGTAATTTTTTTACTCTACGACCTCACAGATCTTACATTTTTTCTCGCTCGCTTTGCTCGCTCGCAAATGAATATTCAGACAATCACACTTAGCCGAAAGTGTGATGCTTAAGCAATAACTTGTATGATATATAAAGAAAAACAAATATTGAAATCGTCCCTGATAATGGGATCACAATGAAAGGGTATATACCAATGTCTAAAAAAATGTATATTTTCGCTTTGAGATTTCGCTTTGTAGGTGCCCTTTTTGTTGGTGCTTTCCACTTTGGAAATAGCTCCTCCGCCCCTGCTTACGCATTAGCGCCAGCGTGTGTGTGTGGGGGGGGGGGGGGGGTTCCTCTCTAGCTCTGAAGCTGATTTTTTTTTATACCTAGATTCGTGCGATTCGGTTAATACTTTTAGAGGGAGTCTGATGGGTGATGTGCCCCCCTCTGAAGCTGACATTTTTTTGGATTTTTGAAACTGGATTCGTGCGTTTTGGTTAACAATTTTTTGGGGAGTCTGATTTGATTTCAAAACACCTGCAGTTAATGCGTGATGGTGTTGCAGCCTCTCTTTCCCCGAAAATTTAAAAATTACCAATATGCATTTGTTATATCTTATCTCGTATATTTTTGTGACAATTAACACTTTTCACAACATACATAAGCTCAAATTTCCGCTCACTCGCTTCGCTCACTCGCCAAATTATTAAACCAGGAAATAGATATTGGGGCAAGAGGCTTCAGCCCCCACTGACGGAAATGTCAAAAAAAAATTGCGCGCGAGCATAACTTGAAAACGGGGAATGTTGATATCGGACAAGAGATGTGACGTGAGCATGTCCCCTTTCCAAAATAATTGTGCCCGTTTGTAGGTACCAATACACTATTAAAGTACAGTGCTTCTAATATGACCTTGTCAGTATTGGTAAGTTTATATAACGGTCTGCACGAATTTCGAATTTCCGGCCCCCCCTATTGGAAAATCCTGGATCCGCGCCTGTAAATCCGTACTGATGGTGATATAAAATGTCATGCGTTTCTAGAAAACTGGTCAATCTATTTTTTCTAATACTTTACCCAAAATTGGTAAGACAGAAATGGGTCTATAATTCCCTTTTTTATGTTTAATACCTTTCTTAAACAGTGGACTGACTTTAGCAATTTTCATTTGATCAGGGAAATTTCCTGTTTCCAATGAAAGATTGAAGATATGTCTTAATGGTTCAGCCATAGACGTAATACAATGGACTATCGACGAAGCAGTTTCTTTGATCCTATGAGTTCCACCATTACGTCTATGGTCAGGAGCAGCTACAGTACATGGTCTATGGTAGTCTTATAGTGCAGACTCACTTTTACGACTGACCAGGGTTTGTGCTTGCAGACTAGTAGAGAAGCATCATCCGAGATGAGAGAAGACAAAGTGATAATAATAGATACATATCAACCATAATACATCTGTGAAGCCCCTCCAAAATAGGGCACCCTAACACATTTTGGTATCTACTGTATCTACTACACATTTTCAGTGCATTACTTTTACCCCTCAAGTGTGAATACATCACACCCCCAGTTATAATGTATCAACCCAAAATCCCCCTAGCTCAGTGGTCAGCCCAGGGTGTCATCATTGTTGCTGATGCGCATACACATTGACTGACCATTGTTCTCTCTCTTTTCATTTCAATTTACAGGTAAGAAAAGATACATTTGATCATTATTATTATTATTGTTACTGTTGTAAGCTCATATGCTGTTGATATGATTGTAATATTCTGGAGAAGATTGGAATGTGGTATCTTCTCATATTGATGAGTTTTTTGTATGATAATTAGTCTTCCTAAACTTTTTGACATCTGCATAGGAACTTGTGTATAGTCACAGCCAGTGTTTTAATGTATATAAACACACTTGTGTTGCAGTTTGGCTGGTTGTAATCTATTATGTAAGAGTCATGAACTCTCCAGGCTTGTTGCCATGACCACTAGAACTTCTGTTTGCTTTAGGATTAACTAGGAGGCTGTTCACACCGCAATGAGATAGCGCGGTCTATCGTAGCACCCCCTTTTTTCTAGCGCGCGCTAGCCCGCGCTATCTCTCGTGGACCACCCCCAAGAGGTGCTCCATTGTTGGCTCGCCGTGACTCGCTGTTGGGCGGACCGAAACGACGTTGTACCTTCCAAACCGCGGAGATAGCGCGGTCTAGCGCGCGCTATCTCTGCCGGTGTGAACAGCCTCCATGAGGCAGTAGCATGCTTGAAGAAAGTGTTATCAGTAATGGGAGACAGTGGTTAGTGACTGTGAGAGTGAAAGGTTTAAATTGGAAAGGACCAAGGGACCAGCTCAGAAATGGCAATGAGGTGTATACAGGGATTCTGTGGGATGTTAGTTATGGCTGAAATGTTGAATCTGCATAGAAGTTTCCATAGGATTGAGGGATCATCTCAACAGTTTAAACTCGCGACTGTAGGATCTCTTCTTAGTATTTTGGCCATGTTTCTATACAGTTTAGATTATAGTTTAATGAGGAACAAACAGTTATATTGATTGTGAGTAGAGTTTAGAATTATTGAAGACTTTTGCTGAAGATATATGATTTAAGCCTGTTAGTATATTGACGTTATTTTAGTAGTTAGTTACATATACATGTATTTCTTCAGTTACAGAGTGTGTTAAAAGGACAAGTCAAAATGAGTTATAATAATCATAAGTCGACTATGAGAGGATGAAGTCCATCCATGATTATGTAAATAGTCATTGTAACTTGACGTATTGCCTTGAAACAAACTCTTAAAGGGGAAGTCCACCCTGAAATTAAGTTAGTTTTAATAGGAGTAGAAAAATGAGAGAAACAAGTCAGTGAAAGTTTGAGCAAATTCCGATTAAAAATAAGGAAGTTAGGATTTTTGAAGTTGTGATCAATCAAACACAAATTGGCAACTCTATGACGTATCATGCGAGCTCAACTTCCATTTGCTCAGTACTAAAAAAATCTAAAATTTTCATTTTCCCTCAAGAAAAATTTCAACCATACATGCACCCTAAATATAATAATTGCAAATATGTTTCTATCCTCCCCCTGCAAGGAACAAATATATATTCCGTCATCAATAACGAAGAAAACATGATTTTATGGAATATTATGCACAAAGCAAATGAAGGAGAGCTCGTATAATAAGTCACAGAGTTGCCAATTTGTATTTGATTGATCACAACTTCAATAATTCATAACTTTCTTATTTTCATTCAGAATTTGCTCAAACTTTCACTCACCTGATTTTCTTATTATTCTGCCTCTATCGAAACAAACTTATTTTGGGGGTGGACTTTCCCTTTAATAAATTATCATTGTTGCTGATGCCCATACACATTGACTGACCATTGTTCTCTCTTTTCATTTCAATTGACAGTTTTAACGCCCTCCCATCGAGGGAGCGGTAACGCATCCTATAAACAGACTTTCATTAATCTTATGTTGTGTTCTTCTTAATCTTCATTGCTCAAGAAGTGAAAGGACCACTTACAAAAAAAAAGTAATGAGGGGTCCTGTGTATACCCTACATGTATGATCATTATTATTATTATGTAGTGCTTTGAATGTGCATTAGACATCGTTCTTCTACACACAGGACCTCCTGTAAATAAGGACAAATCCCTTTGTAAACAAAGAAAGGGAAGAACTAGAATGAAATATCCCCTCCACTATTATACACTTGCAACATGAACTTAGTTCCATTTCCTTTTTAGTGAATTAATAGGTGGTCGTTTAATATTTGTGTGCTAAATATCCTGAAAATTTTACCTGCATGGGACTTTCAGCTTCATCTTGCAAATAAAAGAAATGTTGTAATGTCTACTCATCAGTTAACTCCTTCCAGCTCTTCATCAGTTTCAATCTGTTGGAACAAAAAGAAAACAAAATCAATATGACAATCAAGGCGTCCTTTTCTCCTTAACAAATTAAAAATAGATCTAGCATAAAAGCTATTTTTCATGTCATGGTTGGCCTTAATTTTAATATGGTGTGGAAATCAACATTCCAATTTAATGAACCACAGTACAAATTAAAATTAAATGGAAGATTTAACTTGTGCTTCAAAAAGTGCTATATGGCCTATACATATAAAGTGGTCTTAAGTAGAATTGGTTTATTAAGACAAGAAGAAGTGGACTACATAAGTAAACATAATTGTGGACTAGGGGTGTTCTCTTACACAAACAAATAGATTTATCAACATGAACTGCACAATTTGGAGAAGAAAGAATCTTTGTTTTTTCTCTTCACTCATATTCTCTTATGTTATTCTTTGTTTTAATCATTCTATCACTTTCTCTTTCTGTCTTTCCTTATGTTATTCTTTGTTTCTTCCTTTTATTCTTATGTTATCCTTTTTTTTCCCCCTTCTATTACATTCTCTTATGTTATTCTTTGTTTCAATCATTCTATCAATTTCTCTTTCTGTCTATCTATGCTCAAAACAGGAGTCGACAGTCGGCCGTAAACAATTCCAAAAAGCGCGCGCCGAAGTTGACCTATACTTCCTGGGTCAAACTGCGAGTGTGATGCGCAGTGGCTGGGCTCGACATGAGCTAGAATCAGCGTTGATGAAAAATCGCTTGAATGCTAACCGCAGTGACCTTGTTTTTTGTAACAGCGTTTTGATTTGTGATTCATGTTTGTGATTCTAGCTTCGAAAATTTGATTGAACGCACCCTAAGTCACAGAGTGATTGACGACTGGAACTCTTTGCCCAAAGTAGTAGTTCAGGCTCCCACCATAGACGCCTTCAAAACCAGGCTTGATCATTGCTGGAAGGAACAGTGTCATATCTCTCAATACTCGAACTGATTTCTTCAATTTCTTTGCTCCTGGGACATTGTACATGGTACATTGTCCAGTCAAGATGCAACCTCTTGCCCCTCTGCCTCCCTGACTTGTATATAATGAGAATTATTATTAAAGAGTATTAGTACAAGAAGATAGACCAAGAAGATAGACCTGGAAGCTCGACTGCTGTCTCAGCATTCTTCCAGTATTTGCGGTAAAGTAAAGTAAGATCTAGTAGGTCTAGACTCTAGTATAATGACAACTTGACAAGCACGCTGGACCCACACAAAATCTAAATATTAAATAAGCAAATCCTAGTGTTGATGTTTTTTGAATATTTTTTATTAATAAGTTCCAGGTTTAGTCTACATCTAAATGAAATAGGATTTGGAGTTGTTTGATTATCAATGGTCACAGATAATTTTGGTCTAAATAAAGTTGACACGCACCGGGTACCGATGATGCAACTGAGCTGAGCGAACGGATGGCACTGATATTGATAAGTACTAAAGCCATCAGAGTCCACATCTACTAAAGATTTAACAAGAATTAATCCACTTGGATTATCAAAAAAAAATCATGCTTCGTAGATTATTTTAGGGTGTAACGTTAAATCTAGATTTAAATTAAATCGATGGTTGGTGAATTGGATTCATGATGACGATCGAATCTGAAATAAAACTTAATTAGAAAGTTTGATCTTGATGCAGATGAGCTCCGAAATTCCCCGGGGTGGGCGGCCTGCCGGAACCCCGGGGCCCTATAGTACTATAGGGTGAAATGACGGCAAACCGCAGTCAGACTACTTCATGACGATGAAAATCAAAGTGCAATTTCAAGAGCAATATTTTCCTAGTCTTTTCCCTAAAAATCTGTTGAGAACTGTCTCAAAATGTAATGAAATTACCGTAGATCACGAAGACTATTGCATCTTTTTCAAAATTGATGACTAAATTCACTTAATCTACTCATATTTCAATCAATTACTCACCCATTCTTGATGAACTAAATCTTCAAATGATCCAAAAGAGGCGGAGCCTATTCCCGTTCGTGTCATGGTTTCCGCGCATGCTGCTTTCCGTCTAGTAATTATATTTAAACGTCTTTGGAATAAACTATTAATGAAAATAATCACTTAGTTATTACAAAACTAGCTAGATTAGGGAGTGTATGCCGTTCCGAGGACCGTATGTATATTGCTATTTTCAATTCTCTGTTTGTATTTGGCTTCATGGAGTAATTCATCCTTTAAAAAGTGATTCTCTTCATTCCGCAGCAAAGTACATGTACAATGTAGGTACTTACGAACGTACTCGTATACATGTGTATTATGACACACTACGCACGCCGCACGTCTGTGACATAGGGACTAATGAATATTCATGACTCCACTAAAGCTCGTGCCATATATGCTATCTTTTCAGCTGAGCTGAGCCTGAGATCGAAAGGAGCCTGAGATCGAAAGAAGACTGAAGTCGTAAGAACTAAATTTCCTTTGCCAGCTGACAGTTCAAGTTCACGTTCAAGATGACAGACGGCCCTCCAAATCCAGCAGAAAACGGGGGGATTTTGTCTCAAACTTTTTTCTGGTGAGTTAGTTCCCCAACGTACGCACCGGTCACTTTATTACACTGCATTAATTATTATGAATGGGGCGGAGTGGGGCATATCAGCTGAGCCTTTTGAACAACGCGCGCAGCTAGCCTGCTACCTCGGCGCATGCCGACTTTGACTGAGAGTGATAATATGTGTACATGTAGTTGTATGAGTGGAGTGCTAGTACTAGCAGTATGACGCATGATGGGTGGGGGGGGGGTTGTCTTGACACTTAAAGGGAAATTGCTCTTAGTCGCTTGAAATTGGGGGCAAGTTTAATGATGAGAGGAAATGGGGACACTTAAAGGTGTTACAAAGTTTTGATAAATTTTGAAAATTGGCCGGATAGTGATTCTTACAATTTTGATATATCTGGATGCCCCTATGGATATAAGCACTAAAAAAATTAGCCCCTTAAACACTTCTGCTTTCGAGAAAAAATGAAAATTCAAATTTACCGGTGCTCCCAGTAAATTTTGATAAATTTCAAATAGCGCCTACAACCAAACGATGGTAGCTGCGACCATGACAATCTCAGAATATGTAGTTGTGATATTTTCCAAACGGTAATAACAATCCGTTCGATTTTATTCAAAGAACATTGTTTTACAGCTAAATTAATATATTGACCTTGAGAGGCCGCTATACAACATAAGCAGTTTATTATTTACAATTTCATCACTTTAGACTTGATTTCAACCGCGACAACGATCACTGAATATTGTAGGATCGCAATGTATGCTTCAAATATGTTCATTTGAACCAAATTCATGACCCCATACCAAAACTTTGTATTACCTTTAATGACTTATCGAAAAGGATAATCAGAAAAGTAAACGAGCATGTAGTAATGTAGGCCTACGTGTCAAAGTGTACAAAAGTAATTATCAGAGGTGAAAATGGGGCACTTCTTGCACCTAAAAAAGAGGCACTCATCGGGGATGAAAAAAGGCACTTGTGAGAATGGAAAATGGGCATTTTGTTGATGGAAAAGGGGCACCCATCAGATTTTGATAGGGGCATTTATAAGAGGTGAAAAAGGGCATTTATGAAAAGGGAATATGTCCCTTATTAGATTGTACAATATTGTTGTACAATTGTTAAAAGGGAAATTATCAGAGGTGAAAAGGGGCACTGACCAGATATGAAGAGGGGACTTATTATAATGAAAAAGGGGCACTTATATTAAAGGAAAATGTGAATTGTTGAAGAAAAGGGGCACCGATCAGATTTTAATAGGGGCACCTTTAGGAGCTGAAAGCAGGCTTTTTATGAAAAGGGGAGAAGTGGCTCTTATTTTTAAAAAAGAGGCACATGTTAAAATGAATGGGGCACTTATCAGAGATGAAAAAGGGTAAGTATGAGAAGGGGAAGGGTCACTTATATAAGAAGGAAAAAGAGCACGTATTAGATAGGAAAAGGGGCATGTGTCAAAATAAATGGGGCAGTTTATTAGAGTATAAAAGGGACACTCATCAGGGATGAAAAAGGTATGTATCGGGGGAGGAAGGGGCAATTGTAAAAGTAAAACATGTATCTCTCAGATTTGAATAGGGGCAATTATTGTAGGTGAAAGGGGCACTTGTGAGAATGAAAAGGGACAATTTTCATACTGTAGGTCAAAAGGGGGCATTTATTAGAAGGGGAAGGGGCCCTTTCTTTATAAATGGGGGCATTTATCATAAGGAAAAGGGGCACTTATTACAAAGGAAATGGGACACATTTGGAAATATAAGGTGCGCTTATCCGAGTTAAAAATGGGTAGTTATTACAAAGGAAAGGGGGCACTTGTCAAAGTAAAAGGGGCACCTCTCAGACCTCACTGACAATTGGGTTTCTGACACTTCTGCTTCAGACTGCCTGGATTCACAACAGACGAGAACTCTTTAAATAATTATGAACTGGGCATTTTTAGAGCGAAACGGAAATCAATAATTCAATCAATATAACTGTTTTATGCTGACGTTCTCTCTCTTTCTGTCTTTCTCTTTCTCTCTCTGGTATCATTTCATCATACATAGTTGGCTATTGCCATTCTTCAAGTATGGCTACAGAAACACGTTGGAGCAGCCTGATCTCTATCGGATATGCAGCGAAGATGATTCCAATTTCCTCGCTGATAGACTTGAAAGGTAAGAGATTTTGATTTATTGTATTTAACAATTATTTTTTATTTACTAAGTTTATAGATAAATATTCATATTTGACGATGTCCCCTGAAAAGAATTGCTTTTCAAGTTTCTTGATATTAAAAGTACTTGGAAATGAATCCCTTTAAAGAGTAGTTGTTTTCAGGGGACATTGCATCATAATATCTTCTTCCTAACTGACATACATGTATAAATAATGAGAAAGCTCACAAATTATTTTTCATCTTGTCCAGAACTCGACCTTCTCTTTAAAGCTGCCAATTCATGTACATGTAACACGTTTCTTATTATTTCTGAAATTTTCAAATCATTTTGTTTTTGGTACTTGTCCTGAAGTTATTACGCTGATGTCAGTCTACATGTAGATTTTCCCTATAAAGTCTACAAATAATAACACCTAAACACTATAAATGTAAAGAATACTGTTTCATAATTGTTAACCAAGCTTTACATGCATAAAGCTGGTGATTCCTGGTTGTTGTTTTTTCTCTTTTTTTCGTTCTGTTTTCCTTTATTTTGTTTTTCCTTTCTTTCCTTGATTCATTTTTTCTATCTTTCAATCTTTCCTTATTTTTTAATTTCATTCATTCATTCGTTTGTTCTTTCTTTCATTGTTCAGAAACTGGAACAAGGAGCTAAGGGCACATGAGAATCATGAAAAGAAACCCAGCCTCCTCCGAGCTTTAATCAAAACCTTCATACGCCCAGTAGCCTTTTCAGGGGTCATAGTTTTCTTTGAAGTGAGTTGGCTGAAAACAAAACAATAATTTATTCTTGTATAGCGCATCACACATTATGATATAACGTCCCTATGTGCTTCCAGAGAGGTTCAGAAATTATTACCCTAGCTTTAGCTCTGGCAGCTGTTTTCAGCGCACAATGCGATTCAAGGAATCGCCCATTTACGTCACCTGGGTGGAGTGTGGCAAAGGTAGATTAACGTCTTGCCAAAGGACATTAGTGTTGTGGCAGGGATTCGAACCCTGTACGTTGTGGTTCATAGTCTGGAGACTTATCCACTGGACCACAACACCTCTACAAATGCAGAATAACCAAACACACACAGGTTACTTAGCCTGCGTCTATGATATGGGAGGGGCAAGTTCACTAACAAGACTTCAGTCATCCATCTGGGTTGGATTTGAACCGCAATCTTTGGTTCGACAAGCAGATGCCGTATTGAATGAGCCAACACAGCTCTTTCAATCTTCTAAAACTGACTTGAATCTTTTTCTGTTACCCCCTAGGAATTCTTCTTCCAGATGTCCAAGAAAGAGAAAGAAAATGACTTGAATCCTTTTCTGTCGCTCCCTGGGAAGCGTTGTATTCTTCCCGATGTCCAAGAAAGAGAAAGAAATAACTTGAATCCTTTTCTGTCGCTCCCTGGGAAGCCCTGTATTCTTCCCGATGTCCAAGAAAGTGAAAGAAATAATTTGAATCCTTTTCTGTCGCTCCTTGGGAATCCTTACTTCTTCCAGATGTCCAAGAAAGAGAAAGAAAAAACTTGAATCCTTGTTTTTCTCTCTCCCCAGGAATGTGTCTTCAAACTCCTTCAACCCATCATTCTCAGCTTCCTCATCACCTACTTTTCTCCGGAGCCAAAAATCACAACCACTCAGGCTTACCTCTGTGCCGTGGGGATGGTCCTATGCGGAGCCCTTGCTACAAAAATGCACCATCCCTACGTATTTCGGATGGCCAGGGTCGGCATGCAGGTCCGCATCGCAACCAGTGCTCTGGTCTTCAGAAAGGTAAGCTAGCTTTCAAGGGTATTTCCAAACTTTTTCTTATCTCGAACTATTTTGTAGTGCGGGTCTCCATGCTAATTTGACGGAAGGGAGTGGTTCTGCCTGGTTGGTATTGAATAAGGGTCTGCAGGTCTGAGCTCTTAATGTATGTGAACCCATTGCTTACTTAAACCAACTGGCCCTCTTATGCAGCCTAAGGCACTGATAGTCAGTACGGGGGTACGTAATTAGATTTTGCGTATCCTAGAGGTGTTTCTCAAAGATCCTAAGTTGAACTTATCTCTAAGTTGGACTAAACAACTATGGATAGTCGTTAGCATCTATGGAAATATTTTGTAAAAGTTTTTTTTAAAGGCATGAAATGTTGATACAAATCATTCATTAAATATGCGAATCTGGTTTCCATTCGATAACTTTAGTATTGTTTGACGGATTTTAATGAAATTTAATATGAAGGTACATGGTATCAAAATACATGTACAGCCTAAGTTCGATTTCTGAGTATGTAGATCAAAAGTGAAAGGTCATAGCTCATTAAATATGCAAAAAAACACCTACTTAATATATGTGAAAATGTGGTTAACTTCCTTGCCTAGTAATATAATAGTATAGTCCAATGGAGGTAACTTGTTCTGACGTATATAGGCCGTTTGTACCCTGCGAGGGGATGCTACGCTTTGCGTTGACTTGTTGTTAACGTTGTTGTGTTGTTGTTGTTGTCGTCGTCGTCATTGTAAACGGTAAAACCCCTCATGGGAAATTGGCTTTCGGATTAATTAGTGATAGTTACAGAATTCATGGCTTTCATTTTGCCAAAAATTGAGAATCTAATTTAATATTCAGAACTATTGAAAAGACTAGTGGAAGAAATATCAAAGAACTTACTTCCAGTGAAATTGCAGATATGAGTCTGATATAAGTCATAACTTTTGAATTATTAAGAATTTTAAAAATGTCTAATGGTTCTTTTGCCCCCTTGTATTATTTATTTATTTGTTTGTTTGATTTTATTTTCGTACAGTCTTTACGTCTGAGTCATTCAGCTTTTGGACAAACAACAGTCGGGAAGTTGGTCAATATTCTATCCAGTGATGTGAATAGATTTGATATGGTGAGTTAACCCTTTCAGGACAGGATTTTTATTTTCAGGGCTAGATTGATCACAAATTGTTCTTCAAATCGGCAACAATAATATATTTTTTTATTGCTATTTTGTTAGATAAAAGGTGATGTCTCTGAAAATAATATAAGTGGGAGAGAATGTCAAAAATTTGATAAAATGCACAATTTTGATTAACAAAAAATAAGATTTTGAATGCCTCAACATGTTGCCAATTTAAAGATTTTAAAGATATTTTCTGTAACGGGTTAAGTGTGAATTCTATCTTTACATGGTGGGCAAGTTCAAGATATTTGATAATTTTGTGTCCCACACTTTACCAAGTATCTTGGACTTGTGATTATTATCAACGCTCTAAAGTATTATTTTCATTCAGAATCTCAGATCTGTCCGATCCAAGCAAGTCTTTATTTTTTTTTATTATTCATTTATTTACCACGTGAAGGATGGAGCACCCTTATCAGCGTGTGAGCTATTTTTTGTAGGGGTCCACGTGAAGTATATGAACTTATCAGGGGGTGTTTCATAAAGATCCTAAATCAAACTTAACTCTAAGTTGGATTTAAAAATTATGGAGAGCCATTGTAGCCTTCAAATGAAATATATTCAAAAGCAAAAAATCAAGTATTTTAGACTTTTTATAAATTCTACATCAAGAACATGAAATCTTCTTAATATTATAAAATATGAATGATTTGAATCAACATTTTATGCCATTTAAAATTACTTTTGTAAAATATTTTCATAGATGCTAACGGCTTTCCATAATTATTAAGTCCAACTTAGAGATAGTTCAACTTTGGATCTTTGTGAAACACCCCCAGGTATATGAAAATGTTTTGTGTAGTCTGTAATGTGTGGAAAAAATACCATGGAATTAATGCTTGCACAGGCGATACCCCGACAAGTATCAGAAATATTTAGTACTAGGGTCAGGGTTAGGGTTTTAAAAGGTCATTCTCTTAGTCCTTTTGGAATTCTGTATCCTTCTAAAGGGAAATCCAACCTTGATAGCAAACTTCACTAGAAGAAAGTAGAAAAATCAAAGAAGCCTACTGGTGAAAGTTAGTATGAAATCGGACACATTCTTGAAAGTTGCAGTCACTATATAGGTAATGGCTCTTCAAATTGGCTGAATTATTAATGTTCCAACACACACAATTTTTGGAGGCTGGTCCGACTTGTAATAATATACTCTCCATGATATATTTTGAGTAGTGCCTCAAGGGTGAAGGTGCTTGGGAGAAACAAAACAGAAATGATTGAAAATAATATCGCTAGTGACATTCGTTTGTCTCGCAATGTATGGTCAACAAGGAATCTAAAAGATCATGACGTTTCGTGCGCCGCTGCCACACTTTGTCAGGTGATAAAATATATTGTAAGCAAGCGTGTTTTATACTCTACAGGTGAACCGGCGGTCAAATAATTCGATCAATAATTAGAACAATAACGGATAAGGCCTATTGGCCGAAGCACACAGGGGCTCAAACAATCAACTAGCCGCTGGCTCGGTGCGGGCTGGCTGGATGGGGAGTGTCATGGCGGCGTATCCTACGCATCCAAAATTTGGGGATATCGATCCAGTTGTCTCTGTTGAAATTTTCGGGATTGAGACGGATATTGATTACCGGTAGTGATATTTCTGCACATGACAAACAGGAGAATAATCTGTAACACAATCCACTGACAAAATTGACAAATTTCAGATTCATATAGCTGTAGTGATCTCATATTTCAAACATTCATAACTTTCTTAACATTGGTCCGATTTATTTCAAACTTTCATCATTCTGTTTCTCTGATTTGGTCTGCTTTCATTATCTGGCTTGTCAGTATCAAGTCTTGCCTTCTAGATGGCTGCAGACATAGCTACACCTCCATCTATCCAGTTAATATAACAATCTTTCTTTCAGTTGTTGCTTTTCGTGCACGACGTCTGGATTGGTCCTCTGCAGCTGACAGTCGTATTAATCATACTCTTTAAAAACATGGGACCATCCTGTCTGGTAGGATTCGTCATCCTTCTCTGTCTAGCTCCTCTCCAAGGATGGATGGGAAAACTATTCTCCAAGTTCAGGTAATATTTCTTTTATTTTTCTGTATGCAACAAATCCTGCAGTTTACCAGCTTACTCATCTGAATGAGGCTCTTAAGAGTTTACAAGACACTCTCTTAATAGCCAACTCAAGACTGTTTCATTTAATGAATATAGCCACGCACACATGCTACTTTAAAGTGACTCGGTAACATTGCCTCAGATTCCAAAAAAAAATTCTGGATTTACCCTTACAAAAAAAACCTAATGGTAAATGAATGGTGTTTGAATGGTAGCATCAATGGTAAATGGTATTTCAATGGTGTGCCAATGCTGGATTCTGTATGGTGAATGGTGTTTCAATGATAGAGTCTGTATGGGGAATGGTGTTTCAATGGTGGAATTGTATGGTCAATGGTGTTTCAATGGTAGCGTCTGTATGGTGCATGGTGTTTCAATGGAAGAGTCTGTATGGTCAATGGTGTTTCAATGGTAGAGTCTGTATGGTGAATGGTGTTTCAATGGTGGAATTGTATGGTCAATGGTGTTTCAATGGTAGAGTCTGTATGGTCAATGGTGTTTCTATGGTAGAATTGTATGGTCTATGGTGTACCAATGGTGGAATTATGGTCAATGCTGTTCCAATGGTGAGTCTGTATGGTGAATAGTGTTTCAATGGTGGAATTGTATGGTCGATGGTGTTTCAATGGTAGAGTCTGTATGGTGAATGGTGTTTCAATGGTGGAATTGTATGGTCAATGGTGTTTCAATGGTGGCGTGTGTATGGTGAATGGTGTTTTAATGGTGGAATTGTATGGTCAATGGTGTGCCAATGGTGGATTCTGTATTTGTGAATGGTGTTTCAATGGTAGAGTCTGTATTGTAAATGGTGTTTCAATGGTGGCGTCTGTATGGTGAATGGTGTTTCAATGGTAGAGTCTGTATGGTGAATGGTGTTTCAATGGTCGAGTCTGTATGGTGAATGGTGTTTCAATGGTAGAATTATATGGTCAATGGTGTTTCAATGGTAGAGTCTGTATGGTGAATGGTGTTTCAATGGTGGAATTGTATGGTCAATGGTGTTTCACTGGTAGTGACTTTGAGAAAACTAGGTGTCCCTAATACTTTGAACTACAATGTGATTTCGCTTTATTTTGGGGGAATTTTTCTTCATGATCAATGTTTCAAAGCTTTAGTTTTTTCTTCAGTTTGGAGTAATTTTGGATCTGATATGTGTCTCTTTACCGTGAGTAACTGCTGTTTTGTGCCTGTGGTCCCACTCATATGACTATGTGATATACATTATTATACATTTGCTCACATGAACATATGTTATTGTTAATAAAGGCAGCTTATAAATCATTCTATTTTATTACAAAAAATTGAAATATTACCGTATTAGGGGCACACCTTTAGAACTTTTATCAAGTTATTTATCTAATTGTAAACAATTAACAATTATTAATGAAGCTGCCCCTTACAAAAAAATGTTCAATGGTATACCAATGGTATACCATTTGGAAGTACCACTGAAAATACCATACGGATACCATTCACAAACACCATTTAAATACCATTCGGAAGTACCAATGAAAATATCATACAGATACCATTCACAAACACCGTTTAAATACCATTCAGATACCATTGAGATTATGCTTGAATGGGCACCATTCATCTACCAGTGAAATACCATTCAACCTAATAATAATTTTTTGGACGCTCATTTGCATAATCACCAATGGTAGATGAATGGTACTATTTACACCATTGAAATTTGAATATGAAATATGCAAATTTTGTAACATTAATCTACCATTCACCATTGGCATGGTAGGCCAATGGTGGATGTTGAATGGTAGGCCAATGGTGAATGGTAGATTGGCCTACCATTCACCATCCACCATTGGCCTACCAAACATCCACCATTGGCCTACCATGCCAATGGTGAATGGTAGATTAATGTTACAAAATTTGCATATTTCATATTCAAATTTCAATATTGTAAATAGTACCATTCATCTACCATTGGTGATTATGCAAATGAGCGTCCAAAAAATTATAATTAGGTTGAATGGTATTTCACTGGTAGACGAATGGTGCCCATTCAAGCGTAGCGAGCGTAATCTCAGTGGTATCCGAATGGTATTTAAATGTTGTTTGTGAATGGTATCTGTATGGTATTTTCAGTGGTACTTCCGAATGGTATACCATTGGTATACCATTGAACATTTTTTATGTAAGGGTATACAGCTCATGCTGCAATCATAATTATAAACCTGTAGGTCAGTTAGGAGTCCCATGACTTTTACAAGCCGATCGCCTGTCTGATTATCAAGATATTTATGATTGGAAATCGAAATTTCATTTTTATATTCTGGTTGGTTTTTATTACACCACAGTCTATTGTGGAAAATGAGTATGATAAAACTGGCCTCTCAAAGATTTTTACTTTTTTGAGGCACTTCATGATCATTTTGAAGCGCAATTTTTTTTAGGGCTTCAATATTGCACCCTATCACATACAGACACTGATAACACCTAGGGCCATGCATCTCAGATTTAACATTGTTAAATGATGCCTTTAAGGAGCCGCAATAGATGACTGGTAGAGCATTGGCCTTGTAACCTCGAGGTCCCGGGTTCGAATTTCGAAACCAAGTCAATGCGCTCGTGCCCTTTGGTAAGGCTTTAATCCTCATTGCCAAGTCTTTCGGAGAGGACTTAGAGCCGTCGGTCCCCTGGTGGCTTAATTACAACCATACACATGCTTTCTTTTTAGCAGTCAGATAAAACAAACACAAACAAAAAACAATACTGTCATTAATAAATATTTAGGAGGCCGGGATTTGTTGATGTTTTTAGTATGAAGTTATTATGCAGTGTCATTGGTATTCCTGTCTGTTTTTATTCTAATTTTTTAGGGACAAGACAGCCCTATTGACCGATGAGCGTGTGCACATTATGAATGAGATCATCTCGGGAATGCGGATCATCAAGATTCATGCATGGGAATTCCTTTTTTCAGACCTGGTCAGAGAATCAAGAAGGTATTTACAGATATTTGAAATAATCAAATCAAATCGTCACATCAAAATATTTTGGAATAGAGCTATTATTAAATATTCACGAAAGTTTTGCATCACAATCATATCACAGCACATATCATTGTTCATAAAGCAGACATAAACATCCATGATTAAACATTAATTTGGAAGAACAGCATTCTTGTCACTGCTTGAAAACAAACTCTGATTGAATATTCATTTGATTGAAAGGCAGGAAATTCCATATGTCAGGGCCACTATGTATAATTGATTTATGTGCCATAGCAGTTTTCGGATTGGATAGGTGAAATTTATTTGACTGTCTGGTAGAATAAGAATGTAAGCCTTTGTTTTTCTTTAAAAGGTCAGTAATCTACCCATTCTTCTATCCATCCATCCCTTTATCCTTCCATGATTGTTTTCCTTCTATCATTTCATCTACATGTTCATCCATGTACTCTTCCATCCATCCTACCATACATGTACATTCTTTCATTCATCTTTCCATCTGTTCATCTATTCATCTTGATTAATTTATCTTCCATTAATCATCTATCCATTTATTCATCCCTCCATCTATCCATCCATTTATTCATCCATTCATCCATTCTTCCATATATTGCTTTTCATCCTTCTGGATCAGTGACAACTCATGGCTCAGTAACTTGCAATATCCTGTTTGAATCGGATAGGTACTGTAGTATTTATTTATTCAATCAACAACAGATCGTAAAGAGAAAAAGAACATTTACTCCATTGTTTAAACCATTTCCATTTCCATGAACATATGACTAATAAATCAGTTGTTTTGTTTGGAGATGAAATAGTAATATCTATCATCGGAGTATGAAGGTCAAAGGTCATAGTCATGCCCCAAATTGGTTTAGTTTAGTGCTTTAAAAGTACACATTCATGAATCAATTTGACCTGACCTACTTAAATATTATTTATAATAAGTATTATAAATTCACCCTTTCATAGAAACTCAAAAAATTACCCTTGACCTTGTCAATATAAATTAGTATTTTGTACCAACTGTTTAATAGATCATAATCTAGAGTTTGTATTGTCCAAAGTTTGTTGGTTCTCATTCTCATAAACTAACTTTGTGGCAGGACGTTGTGATTTTTCAGTTCGTTATTCTGCATTCACAGACAGTAGAAAATGGGCTGCAAACGTGGCTCAATCCATCTTGCTTGTAGTGCAATAAAATGGAGATGTTGTAGAGTGAAAACAAATTTATGATGCTAAGCGGCTTTTCTAATTCTTGAAGTACATGCATGTCTTGTGCATAAATTACTGCGTCGTCCATTTAACGAAGAACAAGAAAATCAGGAAAATCTTATTACATGAAAATGAAGTCGCCTTCAAACAATCGCTTGGCGAAACATCCTTCCTTTCATCTACCTCTTCATTTTACCTCTTGTCTTGTTATTTACGTGTTCATCCATCCTTCCATCCTGTCCCTTACAAAAATGTCCTGTGGTAATACCACAGGATTACCACAGGACTGTACCACACTACTTTACCACACAACTTTACCACATAATGGTAAATTGGGACATTCCAATTTACCACAGGAATACCACACGCCAGTTACCACATAAAATTACCACACAAATTACCACAGGAATATTTCTGTGGTAATTTGTGTGGTTTTTTTGGACATTACCACTGGACAGTTACGTCCCAATTTACCACAGGAATACCACAGGAATGGATTAACATGTGGTAACAGTTACCACAGAAGGGATTAGTATGTGGTACTAGATACAGTTACCACAGGGACTACCACACAGCAGTTACCACACACATTACCACAGAACTACCACACGCCAGTTACCACAGGATTACCACACACCAGTTACCACAGGAATACCACATGCCAGTTACCACATAAAATTACCACACAAATTACCACAGGAATATTTCTGTGGTAATTTGTGTGGTAATATCAGGTACCACAGGAAATATCAGCTTACCACAGCCAACCGTTGACATTACCACAGGAGTCTAGTGACATTACCACACGAGTTGCTGTGGTACATAATATTCCTGTGGTATTTTGTGTGTTAAAATCAGGTACCACAGGAATTACCACAGAACATATTTGTAAGGTGTCTTTTATCCTTTTTCCCATACATCCATCCGTCTGACGCCTTCAGGAAAGAAATGGCCAAAGTGATGCGCTCTACCTACTTGCGTTCTTTCAACTTCACAGCCTCCACATCTGCCACTGCTATCATCTCCTTCGCCACCCTTACTGTCTACGCCCTCACCGGTCACGTGCTCACGCCCAGCATCGTCTTTCTCGCCATCCCACTCTTCAATGCCGTCCATATCACGATCTTTGTCTGCATACCCTCCTGCATAATGTACGGCAGTGAGGGGCTCATTGCTGTGCGCAGAATACAGGTTAGAAATTTCTTATATTCTTATTTGTGAATTCACAAGCCTCATGCAATCGTGTACTTCATTCTGCAGTCATTAAAACCCTTTTCAGGACAATCTTTCCATATTTTGTGATGTGACTCAATACATTTTTATTCAGAGGCCCCCAAGAATATACCAGGGGGTGTTTCACAAAGATCCTAAGTCGAACTTAACTCTAAGTTGGACTAAAACATTATGGAGAGCCATTTGTGGCATTAAAATAAAATATTTTCAAAAGCAAAAATTCAAAGATTTTGGACTTTTCCAGGCAAAAACTTAAGTTTTTCATTTCGGGGGCTCCATTTCAAATTTTGGGGAAATTTTCGGGTGCTACTTTTTTAACTTTCGGGGGCTCTTTTTTTCCATTTCGTGGGCTCTTTTTTCTGGGGCTACTTTTTCATTAATTCATAAAAGGATAGGCCTACAGTTTGTTAAGATTTGTTTAGTAGGCTAAGGTTTCGGGCTTCCTGCTTCATAATTGCCTATCAAAAAAGAAACCCCTTTTTTCTAGTTCAATAACTAAGTTTTCATGCCTTGATTTGATGCAAGAACTGTAACATAATAGACCCCAGATTGTGATTATTTCTGGCCATGAATTTCGATGATCATTTTTCAAAATAAAATTTTCACAAGAAAATCAGACAGTCGTTTAAAAACGTAGACATTAGTAATACTTTTACTAATTCTAAGCTCAGGTTTCGTACATCTATTCATGAAACTATATTGAAATCGCGGCAATAATGATGCAAACCAACAAATAACAATTTCGAAGTGTCAAATCTCTTCGACTCGAGCTCAGCTAGCGAGCTAACTCCGGGAAGCTCCAACACCGGCGCCGCAGTGGCCCCGCCGGTGTTGGAGCTTCCCGGAGTTACTAGCGAGCTAGCTCAGCTCAGCTCAACTCACGCACCGCACAGCGGCAATGCACTGTATTGTATGCGTGTCAGTCACTGTGATTTTGTCTGATTTTCTTTACTTTGAAGAAATGATTATCAAAATTACGAAAACATGGCGAGAATAATCACAAAATAGGATTTAATTTCATACCTCTATTTATGGAAACTTTATAAAATTGCGGCAGTCGTGAATTCGTGATGGAAATTGATTGCAGTATTAGCGATGTTTAGTGGTCTAGGTTCCGCTAATATTGATCTACCAAAACAAAATCGATCGCCAAAAACTCGACCCCTACGCTCCGTCTCGATCTCTTGCAACTGCGAAAATGTACCTGTTTTGGCGTACTTGCCTGCGACATGGTAAGCCAGGTAAGGTATGGAATATGATTCAAGTTTTTTACGACCGATTTTTGTGTATACAATTTTACACGGAGATACAGTGTGCGGACCAAGAAATGCAAACAATGAATACGAAGCTAGAAGAGAGCGCGCGGCCGCTCGTAATCGTTATGGGGGCGATTTGAGATCATTTCACTTTTTGATGTCGCCCCCGAAATCGGATTTTGAGCCTATTTCGGGGGCTGTTTATGGTGTTTCCGGGGCGAATCCGCCCTCCGCCCCCGTGTATTTTTTTGGCTGGACTTTTCATAAATTCCACATGAAGAATATGAAATCTCCATGACAATAGGAATGAGAATGATTTGAATATTTTGTTTATCCTAATGCAGGAATTTCTTATGATGGAGGAACTGAAGACATTGAAGCATGCAGACTCCCTCTCCTCCATCGCGTCCGATGCTAACCTTCCCATCCCTGAGCAGATCGGAGAACCCCTGGAAGAAACTGAGACGAATGATAGCAGTAAAGATGAGGAGAGGACAGATACCTTCACCAGCAATGACGTTACTGTAGCGTTCCTCCCTAACAACAACAAGGAAAAAGATGGGCTGGTTGCAGATAGTCTAGCCATGAAGCATATAAATGATAACAGAGAGGAAGAGGAGAAAGAAGAAGAGAGGAGAAAAAGCAAAGAAGGATCAAATCGGGATGTTGATGGGGATGATGGGACTCCTGAACGTGGAGAAGATGATAATGACATCATTCTTAGGAACCTAGGAGGATCTTGGGATGCCAAAGTAAGCCAACTCAGCAAAAATGAAAATGATGGGGTGAACTGTATCAAAAATCTGTCCCAATCATACAAAACAGTTTGCAATTTTATGATCCAATTGGCTTGAAGTCCTCAAATCAGTTACAAAGTTACAATGGACTATATTACAGGAAAAGTTCATTGGTTGGAGTAATAGTATGTAGATTAGGCTTCTACCAACCTATTAGTAGGCAAACTTTCGTCTACTCTTATGGACTTTCTCAAGCCAAGTGATTCTTCACACATTTAAGTTGCTGTCTGCTGCCTCAAGATCTCTGGAGCAAAGATATGTGATAGGGAATAACAAGACTCCACAAAGGATTAATCCTTTTGATCCTGATGGAGTCTTTCACAAAGTATATAATTGACCATTTTATGTGAACCAGGTGGGTGTTTCACAAAAACTAAGATCGACTTTGGGTTGGACTTAACTATGGCAGGCTGTTCATGCCACTGGTTGCTCTCACTATTATAGGCACTCAATTATGATCTTTAGATAACACTTTTTACTTCAATAATGAACTATCAAAAAATGTAGATTCGTGACCACTATTTGTACGTCTCTTGAGAAACTAATGCCAGGAATGGAACTAGTGGCATGAAAGACCTGCCATAGTTAAGTTCAACTTAAAGTCGATCTTAGTCTTTGTTAAACACTCCCCAGGAGATGCATTTGATATCTTAAACCCAAGATGATAGTAATTTCATGCCAGTCCTGAGACCCTCAATGTAAGCTTACAGGATAAGATTTTTGAAAGACCTTGACATGTACTTTATAGGTTGGATTATGTGTATATATCTTCCAAAATTTCAGAAGAAAAAAACATGAAGTAGGCTGAGAAAAATAAAGATTTTTATCGTCTATGATTATCCTTGTCCACCACTGTGTGGCATAAGCACACAATAAAGAAAAAAAAAACATATTAAACTTTTCGTAATTTGCTACAAAGTGCAAGTCCTCAAAAAATATATTGAATTTTATATATTCCCTTTTCTCTGTCCTGGTATGATGCAGAGTGGTGATGACAAAGTTGGTTTCACTCTGAAGAACATTGATTTTTCTCTGCGAGCCGGACAGCTTGTAGCCATCATTGGGCCTGTGGGTAGTGGCAAGGTGAGATTTATAATCAGTTTCTTCTTCATCTTCATTTGATCGGTAGAGTTGATATGAACAATTTTTCTGTTTACACAGTCAAATTTAATGTATACCTCGTGGGTCTTTCGCCAACGAATATTGGCAGGCTTCATTAGAAGACTGGTGATGAAGACTAGCTGCAGATTGGGATATAGCAGCCCAACAGCCCAGTCTTTTGATATCAAACAAAAGTACATACAGTAGAGGAAACAACCAAAAAAGCAAACAACACATAAAATATATGAGTTAAAAGTACATATACATGTAATTGATGTGTTAGTGTGCACATTCACAGTGGGGGTCAGTTGGAGTTCAGGCCCATTGTGTTACGCAATTAGTTTAGTTCACACTGGTATATTTGATGATTTAGATATGATTTATACAGGCACACAAGTAACGTCCATCTTGTGGATAATCAGCAAGTCAACAAACCAGGACTTCACAATGGATTACATATTGAACGTATACCGTAAATTTCCGTGTATAAGACACTTTTTTCCTGAATTTGGGGGTTCGTGTTATTGGTAAATCAATAATGATAAATCAAATATCAATTTTAGCAACTGTCCACCAAAAAGGTGGACAGTTAAAGTGTCGACTTATGCCCCCTCCACCTGCACTGTGCCTCGCAGTGTCTCATAGTATTTTTTCATGATTAACATTTATTTGTCAAGCACTACATAGGTTGTGTGCTGTGAATGAGCATATGATACCATTCTTTTTCTTCCACCAGTCTTCCCTTCTCATGGCTATGATGAATGAGCTCCCAACACAGACTGGTGACGTTATTGTCAGTGGTAAAATAGCCTATACAGCACAGCAGCCATGGGTATTCTCTGGCACGCTAAGGGATAACATTCTGTTTGGCAAGAAGTTTGACCCAGACAAGTACAAGGAGGCCCTGAAAGTCTGCGCGCTCAAAACGGTGAGGGTCGCTCTGAAATTTCAAAGTTCATTTTCAAAATTTTCTGTAGCAGACATGCGTTTGTGAGACAAATTGCATCTGTACTTCATGTGATTGCATATTTAGGTTAAAAAAATCACGGAAGCTTGTGATACAAACCGAGATACATTGTAAAAACAAATATAAAAGCACAAAACCTTATGACAATGATCAATCTGCATTATCTGTTTTAAATATACTTCTGAGTTTCATGTACAATAAAGGCTTGTTCAGATATGAAAAAACAGCTGCAAAAAATGCAATATTTTTTCAACGTGTAAATAAATAGCAACGGCACACAACAAAAGTCTTGTGCCTATTCAATGAGCTCTGTGTCATAGAGTGGTGACGTCATCACAAATCTATTTTTTGAATTTCTCAATTTTTCTTCATTTCCTCCTAATGCTTAGGAGCCAGAGCATGTAACACTGAGTTCCCATAGGCAATCTTTTTATTCAGATGGTCATATCTCAGCCAATACTTAACATATTCAATTGGTTTTCGACATTTGGACATTATTTTTGATGCTCTGTCGGAAAATGAAAACAAAATTGAGACATTCTAAAAATAAATTTTTACGACGTCACAGCTTCGGTACTCTATAAGATACAGAAATGTGAAGCACATCACACTTTACTTCATCTCTAAAAAATAAATGCTGCATCATATCTGAATGAGGCTTTAATAAGGACATTTTGTTGATAATTTCAGTTGACCTACGGTAGCTAGCTCTGTGCCTGCACATATTTGATACATAGAATTGATTTTACTTTTAAAAGTGAGCTCTACACTATTCATGTTCACATTATTAAACTGTTTCAAACCTACATGTATCAGCTTGAAATGCTTGCATTTAAAAAGAACCAAAATAACATGTATTAAACATAAATAATAATAATAATATTTAATTTTTATATAGCACTTAATACAAATGTCTCTAAGTGCTTTACAAATATACTATTACCCCGGTCATTGGATTCAGTGCTTGCCCGCACACTATTCGCACAATCTCCACTCCCTGGGGAGCGTTCCAGCCGGGCGTTACTTGACGCTCACAAGCTGTTTGACCAACAATGATGGCCGCATCCTACCGGGTACCCATTTGACACCTGGGTGGAGAGTAGCAAGTGGTTTTATATCTTGCCAAAGGATATTAGTTACTGCTTCACTGTATAGGTGCAGTTTCATTCATATTTTGTATCTGATCTTTGTGGAAATGTACTCTGAGACGATAATTTGATGTCTTCTTTGATGTAGTTTACTTTAGATATATCAATGAATTACATGTATACATAGATACTCAGTGCATGTTTATGTTATTAATGTTGTCAACAAAGTGATAATGTTGTGCTGTCGGAAGAACGTGATCTTACTAAATTTTGAAACATCTCTTCTTCAATTCTTCACATCTATAGGACATTGCACTTTTTCCTGACGGTGACCTCACGCTGGTCGGAGACAGGGGCATCACATTGAGTGGAGGTCAAAGGGCAAGGGTCAGCCTGGCCAGGGCTGTATACCATGAGGCCGATGCATACCTATTGGACGATCCTCTTAGTGCTGTGGATACAGCGGTCGGAAGACACCTGTTTGATAAGTAAGAAATGGTTTCAGGAGCTCTGGCATTCGACTTGGTAACGATTGCACTGGGCTGTATGTCGTTTAATGTGCAGGGTTGGGTGGGGATTGCAGTTTGGTTTCAGTTCAGGTTTAGGGTTTGGTCACTAGGTTTACTGTTTGGTCTGTGGTTGAAGTTTATAATTTAGCTAGTGTAGGATATTGACTGCAGAACTATTGCCATTGTTTGTTTTGAGGTTGATTTTTTTAATGACGATAGATGAATTAATCTCTCTCTGTCTTTCTCTTTCCTCCCAATTTATATTTTCTCTCCTGTCTTTTCTTTCTTTCTCTCTCTATTTCTCCTGTGTGTGTGTGTGTCTTTCTCTCTGTCTCTCTCCTCTATCTCCCTACCTTTATCCCTCTCTTTCTCTCTCTCTCTCTTCTACATTTGTAGATGCATCAAGGGTCATCTAAGAGACAAACCAGTTATTCTAGTCACTCATCAGTTACAGTACCTGGATGCAGCAGACTGTATAGTCGTCCTCAAAGATGTAAATATATTCATTTTATTGTTGTCTTGTAATTGTTGTAATTTTACAGTCCATTAGGCCTACCAAGTTTGAGACTCTGTTAGAATCATTCTCCTTCTTTGATTGAATGTATCTGCCTTCATTATTTGTTCTTGCTGAATTGTATATCCAAGTTTGCAGTTTAGTACGTATCTATTTATCTGCATAAAAGTGATATATTCACACTTTTATCATAATAATTGTATCCCCAGGCAGTATGCCGGTGGGGTACTTTGGATTCAGCAGCGTTACGTGTGCGCTCTAACTGCCACATTCCTTGACGGATTTCTTTCAAATTTTGTATGGAGGTGTATCGTGGTATAATCTCAACACCTCTAACTTTTGGTGATGCTGCCCCCAGTGTTCCGTCTTCTATAGGGTAAAAGGCCATATTTTATTCTTGTGTGTGCTCTAACTGCCACATTTCTTTACAGATTTCTTTCAAATTTTTTATGGAGGTGTATCTTGGTATAATCTACACACCTATAACTTTTGGTGATGCTGCCCCCAGTATTCCCTCTTTTATAGGGTAAAAGGCCATATTTTATTATTGTGTGCGCTCCAACTGCATCATTCCTTGACGATTTCTTTCAAATTTTGTATGGAGGTGTATCTTGGTATAATCTACACACCTACAACTTTTGGTGATGCTGCCCCCAGTGTTCCGTCTTTTATAGGGTAAAAGGCCATATTTTATTCTTGTGTGCGCTCTAACTGCATCATTCCTTGACGATTTCTTTCAAATTTTGTATGGAGGTGTATCTTGGTATAATCTACACACCTACAACTTTTGGTGATGCTGCCCCCAGTGTTCCGTCTTTTATAGGGTAAAAGGCCATATTTTATTCTTGTGTGCGCTCTAACTGCATCATTCCTTGACGATTTCTTTCAAATTTTGTATGGAGGTGATCTTGGTATAATCTACACACCTACAACTTTTGGTGATGCTGCCCCCAGTGTTCCATCTTTTATAGGGTAAAAGGCCATATTTTATTCTTGTGTGCGCTCTAACTGCATCATTCCTTGACGTATTTCTTTCAAATTTTGTATGGAGGTGTATCTTGGTATAATCTACACACCTACAACTTTTGGTGATGCTGCCCCCAGTGTTCCGTCTTTTATAGGGTAAAAGGCCATATTTTATTCTTGTGTGCGCTCTAACTGCATCATTCCTTGACGATTTCTTTCAAATTTTGTATGGAGGTGATCTTGGTATAATCTACACACCTACAACTTTTGGTGATGCTGCCTCCAGTGTTCCGTCTTTTATAGGGTAAAAGGCCATATTTTATTCTTGTGTGCGCTCTAACTGCATCATTCCTTGACGTATTTCTTTCAAATTTTGTATGGAGGTGTATCTTGGTATAATCTACACACCTCTAACTTTTGGTGATGCTGCCCTCAGTGTTCCGTCTTCTATGATTAAAAGGCAATATTTTTTTGAATGGTTTGTGTGTGCTCTATAGGCCACATTTTTCAAGGGATTTTGTTCAAATTTTTAACAAAGATGTATCTTGGTATAATCTACAAGCATATAGATTTTGGTGATGCTGCCTCTAGTGTTCCGTCTTTTACAGGGTCAAAGGTCTTATTTTGATAGATGTATTTGTGGCACTCTAGTTTGCAGTCTAACTGCATCATTCCTTAACAAATTTCTTTCAAATTTTGTGTGAAGGTGTATCTTGGTATAATCTACAGACCTACAACTTTTGGTGATGCTGCCCCCAGTTTTTCGTCTTGTATAGGGTGAAGAGTTCATATTTTGGTGCATGGGTGTCTAGTTTGCGCTCTGCAGATCATATTTCATGATGGATTTCTTTCAAATTTTGTATAGAGAATTAGAAATGTATCTTGTTACCAATCGACACTTTGGGTGAAGCTGCCCTCATTGTTCCGTCTTTTATATGGTCAAAGGTCAAATATGTCTTTAATGCGCTCTAATTACTGCCACATTTCTTGACAGATTTCTTTCAAATGTTGTATGGAGGTGTGTCTTAGTACAATCATCTACACCTTTTTAGTGTTTGTTGATGCTGCCACATGTGTTCCGTCTGTTATAGGGTCAAAGGTCATATTTTGGTGGCTGTCTTTTGTGCGCTCTAACTGCCACATTTCTTGACAGATTTCTTTCAAATTTTCTACAGAGATGCATTATACTCTAATCTACACACATATTGTTTTGGTGATGCTGCTCCTAGTCTTGACAATAGTCTGAGCCACTAGTGGCGATCTCTACGTCATCCTTTTTTGTCAGGGAGGGGAGAGGGGATCTTTATCCCTCCTTCGAACATAAGGATGACACAAAATCGCTGCCACTGCCGGGGGATACATTTGCATTGCGCGGCAATACAGATTGCATTATTTCTAGTTGTTGTGAGATTGTGTTGATGACGATGATGATGATGATGATGATGACGCAGAGATGCCAACCGTTACGGTTTTGCCGTATTTGTTACGGTTTTAATGCTCTTGTTAAGTACATTATAGCGAATGCCACCTTATCACATAGCCTCCGTACACAGCGCTGCATGACGCACGCAATTACTCATAAGTTCACTGAATTTGACTACACAGGATAGGCACTTTCGCGCACATGGTCCGTCTGCCGCCATCTTGTGTAATTCCGAAACAACACGGCCGCCGTCATTACTGTTTTGATACTAGTATACTATGTGCGGTCGTGCATTTTGGGGGGAGCATGGTGGTGGATGATCGTGCGCAATGATTGTGCGCAATACCCGTTCAAAGTATAGTAGTGAAGACTTTGGTGATTCAGCGGGGGCATTGCAAGTGCGCTATACGGTGTGTTGTTGTTCATGAACGCCGGGCCTAACGGCCTGGGCTGGTGTGTCTGTGGTACTGGTGAGTGAAAGTGTGCGTGTGTAGGATACGAGTTCTGCCATTTGACTGTGGATTTGAATTTGCCGTTCCACGTTTGAACGAGGTGTTTTCTTCCTGAATATTATCATGGATTCACTCAAAAGAGCGAGTACCCAAGGAGGAGATCCTTTGACTGCAAACAGATTAAAAAAAACGTTTTTATGTACATCTTTATTTTGGACTTGAAAATGGTAGGTTCAAAATGCAGTAAGAGTGATTGGGTGTTTGTGTATGTTTTTCGCGAAAATTATGCTGCGGTGTCTTGTGTTACGGAAAGACCCCCATTTGTTACGGACAAATGTAAATATTACTGACAGCCATCCTATAGGGTTGGCATGTCTGATATTGACGATGATGAAGAAGATGATGATGATGACGATGATTATATACATGTACATTAGGGGCAAGTTAGGACAACACCTATTCTGAACTGCTCTAATCTGTGGTTTCCTTTGATGATTTTTTTATGACCAGGGTGAAATGGTAGCATGCGGAAGCTTCGAGGAGCTCCAGACCACTGGGATAGATTTCGCTGCTCTCCTCAAGGAGCATGAATCACTCAAGCAAGAAGACGTTGTCTCGAGGACCAGCTCAATTTATTCAATCCCAGGCGCCATAGCAACGGAGATCAATCCTCTTGCTGATGATATCATTCTTGAGGTGGGTTTTCATCTTGCTGTGGCATTCAAAACTTGCTCCCAAAATTCCTTGACAATTCTTGTTATTGTTGCAATCTAGTCATCGATATGATTTTGAGTATCTTTCAACACTGTCACCTTCAGAAAGGTAATGATTATTTTATGCCATTTATATATTTGACAGGCTGATGAGAAAGCAAGCGATAGACAGAAAGAGACCAAGTCTGAAGGCACGGTGGCGTACAAGGTCTATGTAACATTCTTCAGGGCGGGGGCCGGTATTCTTGGGTTCATGGTCCTCATGCTCTTCAATGTTAGCAGTCAGGTGGGTGAAGAAATACAGTGAAACCTGTGTATAAAGACCCCTTTGTTACATTACTTTCGGCTTACATATATATATATATATATATATATATATATATATATATATATATAGGCTGTTATTTAAGGCAGGGTATTCTACTGACACTACTTCAGATACATGTACACTACCATCTACTGCTCACAATATTCTGATGTGTCAACAGCCATGTCCCACAATGCATTACCAACTGCATGACGCGCTTGTGATGATGCTTGGGTACAGGGCCCCAAAATTGCTTGATGTACGCCTTCACAGAAGATGGTGCAATTAAAAATATGTTACAGCAGTGGGAGTGATACAGGTAAAATACCCTGCCTGTAAGTCATTCATTCTTTACTTCACAAAAGGTGAGATGCCAGTTAAATTCAAATTCATATTCAAATTCATGTTCTATTTCAAACTCAAATTAAAACTCATTCTCAATTTCAAGCTCAAACTCAAATTTAAACTCAGACTCAAATCCGTATTCAAATTGGTTAATGAAATGTAATCTTGACATAAATCCCAGCTGAGTTCCAAGCTACCTAAAGTTATATAACTTTGGCCCCATTTCATAAAACTTGTTATACCGGTAAGTACAAAATTCAATAATTGTTATAAACTACTGAAAACATTGAATTTGATAGGCTATGAGCAAATTTGTTACACAAATGTGAAACTTTAGTTGTTATAGATTTTTTTAATTATAGCTAACAGCTAGGCCCCTAGACCTGATATATCTACCCACTGTAGAATTACACAAGGCAATGTATTATTCTTTTCTCTAACCAGGTGTTCATGAACCTCACTGATTGGTGGTTAGCGCAATGGGCTTTCGCTGAGGAGACGGCATGTGCTGAGTTACTCAATCGTTCATGCATAGTCGATACGGTCTCGCCGGTAAGTTGAGGACAAGGAAATATAACAGAGAATGCTGAGTTCTTTCCATGTCAGTGTGGGAACATATCATAATGAGAATGACCCCATAAAAGAGTTGCTCTTCACCTTCCCTCATGTTCGATAGGAAAATAAATAGCTGAAAAGTTTGTACCAAACTTTCATGAAACATAAATGTGTAGTCCCATATACCCATTTCTGTGTGCAGTGCAAGATATTTGTTCACAATGATGTCCCATTTGGAACATGAATATGGGGCCAAGTCAAAAGTGAAATGTTGCAAAATGCATAAAATTGTTATTTTCAATAGCATTTGTTTGATGAATTGTGTTTTCAAAAAAAACAATTGATGCATTTCTCAACATTTCAATTGTGACTTGGCCCTATTTTCAGGCGTACTGCACAGTCCATGTTTACATACGGTAATCGTTACAATTGGGGTATTTTGTAAAAGGGAATAAACAGGCTTTTCAATAATACCAACGTCATATATTAATCATATAGTAACAAGGGAGATATCAATGCTCGAACTTGAATTGCAGAACTTTTTTTGAAGACTTTATTATTTCTTCCATGATCATTTCAGGATAAGACGTTTGTAGATGAGATGGATGTCGACCGGCCATACTATCTTCAAAACCTGTCCATCTTCCTCTGTCTCTTCATCCTCTTCAGCTTCATTCGTAATTATCATTTTTTCATCATCCTCGTCAACGCCGCCACCGTTCTGCACAATAGAATGTTTGAAGCTCTCATCAGGGCCCCGATGCAATTCTTTGATACAAACTCGATTGGTGAGAACAAGAGCGGGTAACCTTGTCCTTAATTGCCATGGGTGGAAAATTCAACAACAACAAAAGTGTGGACAATGGGTGTATAATTTGGACTAGAAATGGCTTCATCTTTCAGAAACTAAAACCTTTCTAGATGGTGGCAACATTGGGGACCACAATAGACAGATGGTCTTTATAGAGAGGTGGCCACTAATACAGGTCTGACTGAACATTCAATTTAAAGTTTAGTTTCGTGGAAAGATATCTTATACCCAATCTGACAATGTTACAAAGCAATACGAGTCAGAAGTACACGTACATTAAAGTAGATATTCATTGATTTTAAATCTAGCTTTATTTTCATTATTGCAAAGTTGAAACTTTGATTCGACAAGGTTATCAAAATTCAATGCTTGGAAACATTCGAAGTAATGATTATTATAAATTACAAAACGCTTAAATACAGCCCCGGCATAGCACCTGAATAGCTCTCCGAACGCTGCTGAGATGTGTGAGATCACAGCAGGGACATGATTTGCACAAGCAGACGATGTACCATGACATCTCACACATTTTCAGTGCCTGTATTTTCATCTTCTTTTGAGTTCTTTCTCTTACTTCACTACCGCCAGGCTAAATGTATAATCTAATGCCTCCCTCTAAACCCCGCGCATGTTTTTTTTTTCATGACAAATGCAGCGATACAAAAATAAAGGAATCTGTCGCTTGTAAACAAAATAAGACGCCATTGTATATTCAGCTGCAGACACCGCGGTATGTTCGGCGTTTTAAGAGGGAACAAATGCCGTCCTTAATATCAATCCGGGGGCTTTTCAGTTTGAAAGGCTGGTTTCTTTGATTGTTAATTAACCCCTATCCTGTGTATTTACAAGCAAAAGATTTTAGTTATCAGAATCGGGTCATGTCCCCTTTTGATCGGTTTGACGTGCCAGTACATTTATATACACTAAACTCATTATAATTTGACAAATAATAGCTTTGCAATTATGTTCATTCTTTATGGGATGTCGTCTGCTTGGGCAGTATTGGTCCCTGTTGTGACGTCATTAAAAAATCGTAATTTTTCTGGCGAATCTCTCGTATATCCCAGCTGCTATGGAGGTGGTTGTATTTTATTTTTTATAAATCACCCGATATGTAGCTGACCTCAAACTTGTACGATGGCCATCTGTTAGCTTACCAGTTTCTAGTGATACATTAGTTGACATATTTGTGATTTTCTTTGAATTTCACCTTTAAGTTATTACAATTTTATGAAACTTAGTGGTGTAGAAGGGCTTAAGGCCCCCCCCCCCCCCATGATCTTGGCCGTCGGATGTTGGATGAACACAAAAATTTGCATATTTGTAGATATTTATGTAAGGAACAAGATGGTATAATTAGTTTTTTTCCTAATATGCAAATTTCTGTTGTTATAGCCTAATTAATTATGCAAAATGCTAATTTTATGCATTTTACAGAAAACATATCAGACTCCACTTTTTGAATGTTGAAACTCATTATTCATATGAAACTTCTTTTCTAACACAAAATATTTGTTTTGATGTAATTAATAATGATAATTTATGCAAATTTGATGCGATTTTCAAATATTTATTTTCTTATGTATTTTATTATTTTTTTATTTCTTATTATATCTATTGTTTTTATTTCTAATGTATTCTTTTGTTCTGGAATACATCAAGTTATTTTGAGAAACATATAAAAGCAATTTGATATCAATTCATACCTCCCACTTAGGAAGAAATACATCTAAAATGCTATTCACATTTCTGCTTGTACATGAATATACATGTATGCAATTGTAGCACTTTTTGATGACATGCGCATACTAATTGTTATGTAACACCTTACGGGTATATCTGATTTTGACGAAAATGGTATCAAAATGTGCGTAAGGCTAGAGGGAAAAAAGTCATGAAACGACAATTCAAAATTCCAAGCAGTTGCGGTGCAATCTTCGAAAATGTCGAGGGGGGGGGGGGGCCTGGGAGGCCCCCTCCTATGATCTCGGCCGTCGAATGTCCAATGAACACGAAAATTTGCATATTTGTAGATATTTACGTAAGGAACAAGATGGTATAATTAATTTTTTCCTAATATGCAAATTTTTGTTGTTATAGCCTAATAAATTATGCAAAATGCTAATTTTATGCATTTTTCAGAAAACTCTACATATTTGTCTGTAGACTTGTGAAGAATCTTAAAAATGTATTGAATAAATGTTTCCTTCATCTCAAATTCATGAGGTTTCATTATTTTTATGATATTTGAAAATGCATAGGTTAATTTGCATAAATTATGAATATGCAAATTACGCATTCATGAATATCAAATCTGGAACTATATTTAGGGAACTAGAATCATTACAAAAATTGTCAGACTCCACTTTTTGAATGTTGAAACTCATTATTCATATGAAACTTCTTTTCTAACACAAAATAATTATTTGATGTAATTAATAATGATAATTTATGCAAATTTGATGCGAAGTTCAACTATTTATTTTCTAAAGTATTTTATTGTTTTTTATTTCTTATTATATCTTTTGTTTTATTTCTAATGTATTCTTTTGTTCTGGAGTATATCAAGTTACTCTGAGAAAGTGGTGACCCCTCGTTTACTTTGAAGCTTGGTTGTACGAATTTATTATTCCCAGATTTTTTGGACTTAGCAATGTTTTATCAAATGTATTCATTCTGGATTTTGTATCGAATGTTTTTTATGCTCTTGCATTTATACGCGTTTATTCGATGCATACCATGTCAATACTCACTGTTCTATTTTTGGCAGCTAAACAGCCGTTCGCATACCATGCTTGTTGTTTACATTTTTTCAACATGCCATGCTTGTACATTTCTTAGGCTGTTGTAAATTACTGCATACACTATATTATACAATACATGCACTTTTACATTTTTATCAGCCATTGATTCTTGTGACATTTTGTACTTTGCTCATTTATATCTTTATCGCCTTTCATCTGTGTATTGCATACACAGCTTCAATTCTGGCAGGGGAGTAATGTAGCGGCTCTTACATAATTCGCCCTACTTACATTCGCCCTACTTTCACCGTACATTCATGTCTCCAGTATTTTTCCATCACGCTACTTATTTATATTCATTATTCGGGCCACGTGTGTATTTCCTTCCAATCGCGCATCGTGGTTCCGCACTGTTCACCCCGCGTATTTTCAACTCCACGAGGTTTTTCTCCACTCCCGCTTTCACCTTGGTCGAGTCAAGACGTCTCCGCAATTTCCTCTCCAGGCTGTATTCTTCTGTGCCTTTCGTCTTTTCTACGGCACGTCAACTCTTTCTCTGCCGTGTTCATTGGGCTGCAGTCTTCCAGTGGAACAGTTAAATTAATATCCGACATGGCGTTTGATTCTTAGGGAATTTAATCACCTAAATAAAAGAAATAGAAATAGATTTCTTTCCTACCTTGTCTCGTAGAAACACCTGTTGAGTACAGATACTTGGAACATATATTATATCACAAGTAGTAGTTCAAATATTGCACAGCACCCGTAGAAAGAATATATAAGACCATGTACAAAGTAATGACGCTTCTTCGCGAATTAAGTAAAGAAGAAGAAACTTATAATCTCTATAAAGTAATAAGGCCTCAGAACCGAGTAGAGAAACAAGCGAAGAAATAGGACAAGAATTAAGATGAAGCTGAATTAGCTTTGCTGTTGATCGATCGACTCTCTAGAATAGGTGTGCTCTATATGAACAGCTCAGGAGAAGAAACTGGCAGCTCCCAGCGGAGAATCAAACGCCATGTCGGATATTGATTTAACTGTTCCACTGGAAGACTGCAGCCCGATGAACACGGCAGAGAAAGAGTTGACGTGCCGTAGAAAAGACGAAAGGCACAGAAGAATACAGCCTGGAGAGGAAATTGCGGAGACGTCTTGACTCGACCAAGGTGAAAGCGGGAGTGGAGAAAAACCTCGTGGAGTTGAAAATACGCGGGGTGAACAGTGCGGAACCACGATGCGCGATTGGAAGGAAATACACACGTGGCCCGAATAATGAATATAAATAAGTAGCGTGATGGAAAAATACTGGAGACATGAGTACGGTGAAAGTAGGGCGAATGTAAGTAGGGCGAATGTAAGAGCCGCTACATTATAAAAGCAATTTGATATCAATTCATATCTTCTCATTTCTACTTGTACATGAATATATGCAATTATAGCACTTTTTTGATGACATGCGAATCCGATTTTGACGAAAATGGTATGAAAATGTCATGAAACAACAATTGCAAAATTCCGAGCGGTTGCGGCGCGATCTCCGAAAATGTCGAGGGGGGGGGGCCTCCCAGGTCCCCCCCCCCCAGTACAGTAAGGGTTAAGAATAGATGTCTGTTTTGGGCCAGAAGGGTGTTTAAAAACGTATGTTCTTTTATTTATGGTCTCAAGTGATAATGGGTATATTAACAGTTTTGTTAAAGTTGTGTAAGAAATTGCATTGGTAAACATGTATACATGTCCCTTTCTAGTGAGATTTAACATATTTTATTCACTCTTCGGTTTGTTTTTCAGGGCGTATATTAAATCGATTCTCAGAAGATATCGGTTCAATGGATGAGCAATTACCTACATCCTTTGCAGACTTCAATATAGTAAGTTCTATTATTCACAGGGAATACTTTCAGTACATCCTACTAGTACATGTAAAGTAGTCATTTATCGTGCAAAAAGATTTGTGTAAAAGTGATCTAAGATTTGTATTCTTAGTTTAGTCAAATGTTGTACCATTTTCGACCTCAGTTTATGTGAAGAATGGCAGTACTTGGTAAAATAGAAGTTGATTTCCGGGAAGGCAAGATGTAAACTTTGTACTTGTACTGTCTTCGGCATTCACAGCATATATATATATTATAAACATGAATATGTAGGCTTCAAGGTGGGATAATCTATCCTTTGCCAGTACAATAGCGGGTTTGAATGTTTAAACCACTCAACCATGACACCTCTGTCATCATGTCCTATGATTTATCTTACAGATATCATTTCAAACTCTAGGAGTGATCATCGTCATCAGCATCTTCAACCCAATCGTCTTAATATTCATGGTGCCGCTGTGTGTAGCATTCACCCTCGTCAGACGGTACTACCTCGCGTCATCAAGAGATATCAAGAGATTAGAAGGGATAAGTGAGTCCATTTTTCTGTCAATCGTTTGGTTAGTGTGTCAGTTTATCTATCAGTCAATCGTAGCATCCACTCTATCCACTCTGCAAGTGTCATTACTTGACTTTTTTTCTCCCTCTCCCAGCTCATACATGTAGCTCCGTCTTTGGTCACCTCTTAAACCTTCCTGCAGGGGTTAGTCACCATCAGAGCCTTCAAGGTCCAAGAGGACTTCACCAAGCTGTTTGACATCCATCAGAACACCTGACTAGGACATGGTTCATTGTCCTCTCCATCTATCTATTCTACACATATTAATTCATTTTGATTGAATGACATTTGTGATTATCTGACTCACTTTAAACTGTCCATAACTCGATCTTCTCTCCCTCTCCCAGCTCGTAGTCCCGTCTTCAGCCACCTCTCGGCCTCTCTGCAGGGGTTAGTCACCATCAGAGCCTTCAAGGTCCAAGAGGACTTCACCAAGCAGTTCGACCTCCATCAGAACACCCACACCAGGACATGGTTCCTTTTCATCTCTTCCACCTGTTGGTTTGGTATCGTGCTAGATTGGATGGCCATCACCTTCCTTGCCATTGTAGCATTTTCGTGCATCATCTTATCTGACAGTAAGTTGATTATTCAAATTCTATGAATACTTGTTGTATTTTTTCCTTTTGTATCATATCCTTTTTTTCCCTGTTCTCAGATGCTCTCTCTTGATTGTCTTCTGCTTTAAACAAGATTTTATTCCTTTACACACAGTGTACACAATTCCGTCTCCATGCTGTATTATGCATATTTTACCCCTCTCACCCCTTTTATCTCACCTATCTTTCCTTTTCCCCTTCTCTTTTTCTTCCCATTGTGGTCTCTTGCATCCTAATCTCCTCTGTGTTTGTTCTTTCTCCTCTTGTACATTATGCTTGTTTTTCCTTCGCTCCTCTTCTCCTGTCCTACATGGATCACTTGTACTTTCAGCTCTTACCCTCTTCAAATTTCTCTGATTACCATTTCTTTGTTCTGTGTTTTCCTAATCTCTACTGCTGTTGTTTTACTTTTACTTCTCTCTATTTCTACATAACTATCTGCTATTGTAAGATTGTAAGATTGTAAGATTGTAAGATTTGATTGACTCTATCGATATAACAATAGTATAACAATGATAAACATGTGATAACATGAAAATTGATAAACATAATAAAATAATATGAACAAAGACAAACATGTGATAATATGAACAATAATAAACATGTGATAATATGAACAATAATAAACATGTGATAATATGAACAATGATAAACGTGATAATATGAACAAATAAACATATTTACAAATCAAGGCGAACTGGGCAATTCACCCTCCTACCGCTACGAGTGTGCCTATAACAACATTGCTTATTTGTGAGCTATCATTTACAGTATTACCATCTACCCTTGACTCTTTTGAAAAATGTGACATAATGATTCTAACAAATTTGGCTAATTTCTTAAGCTGGCAAGCGTGAGCTGTATTAAAAACCTTATCCATGTGCAACGCACTTGTTATCTGGTTTCCCTGTTGGTGTTACGAATGCTACTGGGCTTTGTTGTCTTTACCTGTAGTACTACGTTTCCTATTGACTTTGTAGTGCACATGTTTTGCTTTGTTAAAGCCCGTCTGTACTAGCTTGGCCAGGAGGGATTAGACCACTCAGCATGGTCACTGGCAGGTGGCTATCTCATCAACTCAGCTCTCAATTAACATAAGAAAAAGAGGATCATAGGGGACCAACGGGCACCGCTTAGGCATTATTTTCTATACAGTGCGTCCCAGATAAAACGAAACCGAGAATTATCGATGTTTTATCATAACTTAATCACAATTATAATTGATAAATGACACATATTTGGAAAGCATAGATCCTCCTCTTTCATTTGATGCAACTCATAATAATGCATATTTCACGCATGAGTGATTAAAATCAATTTGAAGAGAGGAAACCGAAAAGTCGTTTGGCGGGCGGTATCTGAATTTCAAAGAGAAAATCACATTTCTAGAAAGTTGAGTTTCTGCCCTTTCATATGACACCTCATTCAGGAAAAATGATCTAGGAATAACAAAGTTCTGTTTGTTTAAAGTAGTGCTTGCATTTCCATAATTTGATTAAACAAATTCGTTTTCACTGGCTGCCTGCCGTATCAACAAACGAAATTAACAAAAGACTTAACTCCGTTTTGTTGACAATCAGCCGTATACGAAAGACTTCATGCATGGCTGATTGTCAACGAAACAGAGTTAAGTCTTTTGTCAATTCTGCTTTTTGCTACGGCAGGCAACAAATTTGTTTGCTAAAATTATGAAAATGTAAGGGATACTTTAAACAAACAGAACTTTGTCATTCCTTGCTCATTTTTCCTGATTGAGGTGTCATATGAAAGGGCAGAAACTCAACTTTCTAGAAATGTGATTTTCTCTTTGAAATTCAGATACTGCCCGCCAAACGACGTTTCGGTTCCCTCTCCTCAAATTGATTTTAATCACTCATGCGTGAAATATGCATCATAATAAGTTGCATCAAATGAAAGAGGAGGATTTCAAATTTCCAAATATGTGTCATTTATTAATTATAAATGTGATTAAGTTATGATAAAACATTGATAATTCTCGGTTTCGTTTTTTCTGGGACGCACTGTATAGAAGGAGCAAGTAGCCATAAGTAGTACAGTGGGGCTTTAAGTTATTTGTCTTCATGTCTTACATATATTTTTATTTTCTCAGGGGGGATTCTTGTATTTTTAGGGAAATAGCCAGAGAATTCTTTTTTATGCCAATTGTATTTTTGTGTGTGTCCATGACTTATAAATTGAATGGAGTGTTTATCATATTGTATAATGCACATATACTAATATATTCTCTTCTTATCTCTTTTGTAGTATTAGAGTTGAACTCATCTCTGGTTGGTTTATCATTGACCTACTCTCTTCAGCTGATGGATGATTTCCAGTGGGGCGTTATACAGAGTGCTGAGGTAGAAAATTCGGTAAGCTTTAAAGCTAGACAAAGACCAGTTATGGTCATGTGATTGCATTGTGAAAGAAACGTTGTGGAATCGATTAGAAAGGTTGATCATCTAGCATATAAGTACCGGTATTGGTGTGTACTGCAAGGTTCTGGAATCATCAAAATGATAAGAAATTTGGCCCAGTCTTGGTAGAGTTACAAGCACTGTACACATAAAGATGTATATGGGACTACACAACACGTGCACGATATCTATCAGGTCCAAATATATCAATCAGTAGGCAGTTTCTCTGCAAAATTTGTATCATCACGTATTAGTCAAAACATATTCTTTCACATGTTTGGTAATAAGAGCTTCCATTTCATTGTTTGAGAGGGGGGCGTTTCCAAAACTAATCTTTACCTTTAAATCTCCTTTCATCTTTAACATCCGTTGGTAACTTTTTGATCTTAATACTCACCTCTTTCTCAACCCTGCCCTTAAATCACAATACATGTAAGTGTAGCATCCTCCCATAGAACATGTACATGTAAGTGGCACGTGTACTCTACCTTAAGATATTAATTGCATCCTTTGTTTTGTGCTTTAGTTTATGTGATGATGATTTATAAAATGAATAGTTCATGTTATGAAGCTCGTGCATGAGCGATAACATGTATGCACTGCACTCAGTTAAGCCACAATGAGCCAGGATATTGAACTTGACAAGTCTAATTGTTTTATTATCCAATTGTGACTTAACCTGCATGCAGTGCATATATTCACAAATGCTTTTGTAAAAGTGACTTACAAATATTTGTATATTATTCATTTTATGCACCCAGTACATTCCATGAATAGACAGGTGGGAGTTTTCTTTTCTAAGGGGGAGTCAAATTCTATGCTACTAAAATTGAAACCCAAAGCTGTACTTAAGATTGGACTATAGTTAGATAATGGAAGAAGGCAGGTTGAAGTTTTCCTTCTGTTTTATATGACTTATACCCCATTCACAGTGGTTTTGAAATTTGTAGCGGCGTTGTAGCGGAGCGGCGACACCGCCATAACACCGCTACAAATGCATTCACAGTAGAAAAGTTATCCCGCTGCAGCAGCGGGATAAATATCATGTACCCATTCACGCTGCAGCGGGTGATTTTTATTACCTCCGTAACAAACACGTGTATGCATGGCTCATGACCCGCGAGTGACCCCGATATGACCGGAAATACTTCAGCGCGGGGTTTTCGATTGCTTGAAATTGCGCGCAAAAGGTAAACATGTCAAGTTGCTTTTTGTATCCTCGATCATATTACTTTTTAAAAAAACTAGCATTTTTATTGCTTCCAGTCAGAATATTTTAATTTTTTGAAGTGTGAAATATTTTTATTTGGATAATTATAATATCTACATAATAATAAAATCAATTTGAATCCACTGGTTACTTTATTTCTATTTCACTTTGTGTTCCCCATTGCTGGAGAAAAGAGGTCAGTGATAGGTAAGTAAACAAATCACACGTGTTTGTCGCGGTGTTATAGCGGAGAGCCTTCACACTGAGTAAACACCGCGACAGCAGCGGGACTGTCCCGCTGCTGTAGCTAGGCGAACCTAGCGATAGTTTGTCGCGGCGTTATCGCGAGGCGGTGTTATCCCGTTTATAACGGGTCCGAGCCTTCACACTGAAGACAACACCGCGACAGCAGCGGGACAGTCCCGCTGCTGTCGCGGTGTTTGAGGCCACTGTGAATGGGGTACTAGTCTCACTTCTGAATTTTATTGAATGACATATGTAGTAGACTATACAAACCCATGTGTCAATGTTTAAATCTCTTTCTCTCAGGTGACCTGAAGAGAGCGGGTCATAGAATATTCCAGCCTGAAGCCTGAAGCCCCTATCGAGAAGAAGAATCTACCGGATTGTCATTATTTTCATAGATCATATTATTCATAGACATATGCTTTCCTTATTTCATCAATGCTTAGTTCTGTCTCTTGCTCAGATGTCCTTGATGGCGGTGTTATAGAACCCTCCTCCTGGCTGAAACCTAATTTCCTCTGGAAAATGAGAAAGAACCAGAATGCCATGATTTTTATAGAATAAATCATTCAGAGACAGAATTTCTTTACTTCAGAGAGGCATTATGTATACATTCAAAGTCTATCATTTATCAATGTTTGACTCTCTGTCCCTCTCTCTCTCTCTCTCAGATGACCTCAACAGAGAGGGTTATAGAATACTCGCAGCTGAAGCCAGAAGCTTCTCTAGAGAAGGAGAACGAACCTGATGCTGATTGGCCGAAGCATGGCATCATCACGTTTGAAGACGTCTCGGTCTCCTACAGCGACGATGGACCTCTAGTCCTCAAGAACCTCAGATGCTCTATACGAGCAGAGGAGAAGGTCAGTAAATCAAAAAACCTTAGAAAGGCCTCGTTCACATTTGATGCTGTAAACCACCTGGATAAACCACAGCAGAAAAATTGAAACCATTTTTGTCAAGTAAATAAATGGCAAGTAATAACAAAGCCCTTGAGTGAACTCACTTGTCTGTGTGATACGGAAATGTGAAGCAATAAACCCTTTGTCTATGTTTATTATCCTTGCTTTACTTTTGGAGTTAGACAGGTATTATCTTAACAACGATGACCATGATTCTGGGTTTAAGATGGTGTTATACGGTAGTGCACATCAAACGCCTAATGACAATTATTCTTGGTGTATATGCGGTGTTAGATTAATATCAATCTTACACCTAATTGTTTATGTTTGGTGTTAGGTTGGTATTGTCGACAGGACGGGAGCAGGTAAAAGTTCTCTCTATAACTATTAATTTTGGTTATGTTGGTATATAAATCAACTGACAACGTAACACCAATGACTATAATTCTTGGTGTACATTTATGTCCAGGGTTATGCTTGTATTTTTCCAACCGTTATTTTGGTGTATATTTGGCAATAGGTTGGTATCGTCGGTAGGACAGGAGCAGGTAAAAGTTCTCTGATGGCTGCCCTCATGAGGTTGACGGAGCCCAGGGGAATCCTAAAGATCGACGGTGTCACCATCACAGAAATCGGTCTCCATGCCTTGAGGAAACGCATATCATTTATACCCCAGGTGAGACTGTGTTGAGAGATTCTCGGTTTAAGAAGGAAAGATCAATATATAGTTGAAATTATGATTCATTAATATGTTGGCTCAGTAAGTAAAGCTTCTGCTTGTTGACTGAAAACCAACCAAGGCAGATGACTGAAGCCTGCGTGATGTTGACGTGCCCCTTCCATGTTTCAAAGATGCAGACTGGGTTACAGTGGTAAACACTCTGTCCCTCAGTTAGGATGTTAAATGGAGGCCTCGTGTAGAGGAGAGTCACCACCTGTGCATGTTAAGAACCCACTGCACTATTTGTGTAAGAGTAGGGGAAACCCCGGTGTAATTGATGGGTCACCTGCACACCCCCAATGAGTTATACTGGGAGGAGAGACCCGAGGGTCACAGTGATTCAGTTCGCTTTTCCCCTCCCAGGCACAGGTGATGCCAAATACTTGATAATAATAACATAATTTAAATTAAAAAAACCAGAGTTGTTGATAATGCATAGCACCTTTGGTGCTAGTTCCAAAGTAAGAGCGTCAAGTACATGTAGCCAAATGCAAATGTTGGTATTAGTTTCTTGTACAGAATGACATTTTCTTTCTTACTTTTTGTACAGTCTATTATACATTCAGTTTTATTTACTCTTTCTTTTAAAAGAGACAAATCATCATTTCATTCAGAGCTACTTAGAATTATTATGTCTACATTACTTTGATATACACATGTACACGTAACAGCACTGGGAATCACTGTATATGTGAAGAAATTTTCAAGGTCATTGCCACGGAAACCATGTCCTCTTAATGTTTCTTAGGATCCTGTGTTATTTAGTGGAACCCTCAGGAAGAACCTAGACCCATTCAACCATCACACAGATGAGGATATGTGGAATGCACTGGAAGAGGTAGGATGAAGAGCTTGCAACATTTTATTATTTCTTTATTTATTGTTACCATACACAAGTTGGTTTTCCAGTACAGATGGATTACAAGGAAACACATGACAATTGTGGATATAAAAAAGTAGCATTTGCACAATAAAAATACATAAGATTTGTGTGGTACATGATTGTATGAGAGCCAATTTCAAATTACAAGTACAGTCAAACTTGTCTATTGAGACCTGCCAAGGAAAACAGAGGAAGTGGTCACTGTAGACAGGTGGCTTTTCTAGACAAGTTCTACAACACACATTTCTCTCTCTCTCTCTCTCTCTCTCTCGGGAGACAAATACATGACTACCGGTACTACATGTTCTCAACATACATGTACATGACTATCATAGAGATTTCCAATGGCCACTGAGATAGGTTTGATGCAGGCCTTAAATTTCAATATTTTTAGGGCACATTCCTGTATTACAGCACAAATAGGAAGAATTGGAAAGGGCACAAAAAATCTCCAAGGCCAATAAGAGGGGCATTGAGGCCAATCAAAAGGGCATCCACGACCATGGTCTTGGTGGCCTTGGATTAATTTAAGCCCTGTTGATGGTATACAAATAGAACAAATAGTTAACTTGTTGGTCATGTGTGATATTGGCAACCCCCCCCCCCCCCCCCCCCCCTCTACTCACTGTGACCAACTGTCCCCTCATAGAGTTATGAGAAGATCACACTCAGTTGGATTAGATGTCCTAAGGGGCTACAATATACATATCGTCGCCTGGCTGACAGAAGGGCATAAGCTTGAATTTCAGGTAAAAAATGAAGCATTAAGCAGAAGGGCGTTAGCCCTAAATTGCCTCAAACTTTTATAAAACTTACTTATTTCCAAAAAAAAAAATGTGGCCGTGTTCTACTATAACATTTCTATTAGTGTTTTAAGTTTTAAACCAATTTTCGGGACGGAAAGTAGTTTAATTATAAAACAAAACTTTAAATGCAAATAATTAACGCCCTTCTGCCAGCCGGCGGACGATATGTTTAGGAGTACTCGTCCTTGAGGGTATTTTTTTTTTAGGGGGGGGGGGAGGGTGGAGGGTTGTCATCATGCAGACCTTAGTGTTGATTTTCCATCCAATTTCCTAATTATTTCATTTTATTCTATCTCAATTATATCATTTTGTTAACCCGGCCTTGTGATGAATTGTCCAGGTCCAGCTCAAGCCTGTCGTGGAAGAAAACTCAGAGAAACTGGAGATGGCAATGTCCGAGGGAGGGACAAACTTCAGCGTCGGACAGAGGCAGCTGGTCTGCCTAGCGAGGGCGGTATTACATCAGAATAAGATCCTCATTGTAGACGAAGCCACGGCTAATGTAGACCCTAGGTGAATATACAATGCAAAGACAATATGTTTTTTCGTGCACATGTAATAATAATAATAACAATAAATATGTCTTTTTTTCCAGGAAGCCTCGTCACAATTTGTTCTCCCTGAGGGCCCTGCAATCTTATTATTACTCCGGCTTTAGCCCTGCTACCATGAGAAAGCAATCAAGCATTCAAGAAATTTCTTCCTGCCAGCTACCCATTTATTACACCTGGGTGGAGTGTGGCAAGCCTTTTAGATTCAGCAGAACAATTTGTTTGGAAAACTTCCCTCACAGGGGGTATTTCTTGAGGTCTTTGGGCGGTAATTGCATTTTGTATGATCTGCGGGTTGTAAAAAACACAATAGGTTTTTGACTGATCTGTATATCACAACTGTAATAGTTTGAATACCTGAATAGTCCCCCTTGGTAACACTGAATTATATGTCTTGAATGTGTTTTCTTTACAGGACTGACCAGTTGGTTCAACTGACCATTAGGAAGAAGTTCAGGCAGTGTACAGTGCTGACCATTGCCCATAGACTCAATACCATCATGGATAGTGACCGTGTCTTGGTGAGTATTGTATTCTGCTCCAGACCAACCCCAGACCGACAACAGACTGACCCCCAAAATTACATTACCCCTTTGGCACAAAATAAGTCGATTCGGAGTCAGTTTGCAACAAAAACACTCCCAGCATTTTTTCATCAGTGGCTTCCATACATGGTCCAAGGTAAAACAGAACTTGAAAACTTAACTTATTGTCTGAACAAAAGGAAATAATACTCTGAAATCCATACCAATCTTACAGCCTTTTCACACAGGGGTAAAATTCATCATATCTAGAGCTGATTAGTTTAAAGTTGTTTAACTAACAGCTTTAACCCTACATTAACTGGGGGGGGGGGGGGGGGGGGGTAAATTTGACCCCCCCCTGTGATATTCCAAATGGTCTAAAAATATATGTAGTGAAAAAGAATGCTTAAATATGAATAATGTATGATTTATTGGCAAAAATGTGAATTTTATTACCTTATTTGCATAAATTACCATAAATATGCAAATGAGTGATTTTTTCAAAAAATTGAAATTGCCATAGTATTCTATACACTTTACTTGACATGTACGCAAATTTTCGCAGCGATCGGCAGTGAAACGGCCAAGATATTAGTAAATATTAGTAAAAACCTGGTCTGAAATAGCCCAGTTAAGATAATGTTAAGGTAAATTTTCCCTTTGTGAACGTCGTTTATACAATGTTCGGACAGATACGAAGCTGCGACCTATTCGCCGGTCAGAGCAGGCTGCAGATACGCAGAGAGAGCAAGATATTTTGTATCTGAACGGATATACGTCCTTAACTGGGCGGAGCTAAGACCGGGCACTGCTCTTAAATGTGCAATGGCCCTACTGAGCGTTTAAAGAGCAGTGAATCTCAAACGACCGCACCGAAATTGTCTGTGTGTAAATGATGTATCTAAAGCTGTTTAGTTTAAAGCTCTTTAATCTAATCAGCTTTAACGAATTTTACACCTGTGTGAAAAGGCTGTTATTTTGAACTGGAGGTACCAGCTACCTCCCCCTCTGCAATCTTCTTTTGCTCCTGAAGATCTTTGTAGGTTGCTGGTTTGGATGCAGATAAAAACAGACAGTAAAGCTTTGTACTGTCTGAACTGAGTGCTTCCACAACTCGTTGAGGTCTCGTCTTTGGCTTTATAATAGAGTCAATTTTCTTCTCTTTAGTTTTCCTTGCTTTTCCTTCTCCAGTTGCATTGATCTGTCTGTTTTCTCTTTGTACCTTGCACAGATTTAGATGAAGATGCTTCCTTGTTGGAATCAACTCTGGATGTCTGTCTGTCTTTCTGTTTTCTCTTTGTACCTTGCACAGATTTAGATGGAGGTCTTTCCCTTCGATGATTTAGAGGGTTAACATGTAGCTGGATTACTTTTCTTTACTGAAACACTGCCCTTGGTGGTACCACTGCTCACTTTTTTCTCAATTCAATTCAATAAGGGTTTATTCAACATGACGTTCTTGCAGCCGTAGCTGAATTGCAGGTCATTTACAAGGTAAAATACATCATGATGATTAAAATACAGCATTATACATGTAAACATCAAATACACGACATATAAGAGGATAAATATACTACATGTACCAGTAGATACATTCATACATACTGGTAATAGGCAGCATCATTAAACATAAAATATACAAAATGCATGAAGCTTACTTTTGCAGCCACAAGTTTTCCAGCTCCTACATGTATCCCTGCTTTCCTTGCACCTTTCACTTTAGACTTATTTGTGGATGCAACTGTCAAGGCTACTACTGGTGGATTCTTCATGAAAAACAATATAGGAGGTTGAGCCGGTTTGCTTTTCATGACAGCAGTTTCCTTGGTAACACAAGATTCAAGATAATTTATTGTCTGATTTAAACAATACAGAAATTTGTCCTCCACTGGTGAGTGACATACATATATACAAGCAACATAAACAATATATACATACATTCAAGGATACAAGAGGGTACAAACAATAATAATAATAACAATAATAGCAAGAACATAACTGTAAATTTGAAAACTGGCATTAAAAATTAAATCTTGAATGCACAGAATGCAGTGTTAACCTTCTTAGAACTAATAAGTGTAGATACTCCTTTCTTTAGGTCTTCCTTCTTGGATGTGATAGAGGATCTGAATGTGGTTGATGCATCTGACAGATAGAGACGTAACTCCTGCATTGTTCTTTTTTCCTGATATGATAGGTTAAGTTGATTTGGCTTTTTTGGGCAGGTGCTGATGATGAAGATGCCCTTCTCTTTCTCTGGATTTTTGTCTGTGCAGTTCCAGATACTTCCTTCTAGAAGAATGCCACCAATGCAGGCCACTGTTGAAGAAGTCGATTGATGCACAAGTCTAAGGAAAGCCACCGTGTGCTATCACATGCTTTATGATGTCTGTACCTCTACATCATGAAAATATTGAAATTCTTTCAATGTTGACTTCCTCTTGCTGCTATTCCTCAAGGTAGAAGTGAACATCCACTAGCAGCTCTTCAATGTCCACTGGCAGTGATTTTGCAGCCTTTTCAGCTGCAATGTTCATCAAATGGCATGCACAACCAACCATGTAGATGTCTTCATGTGCTTGTTTCAGATGATATGCTACATGTAACCCAGACTTTGTACCTTGCATGACATTTGTATTGTCAGCATCAAATGACAAACAGCTCCAGCTGATACCTCTTTTGGATAGTTCCAGATTAGTGCTGTAGCCGAACAGCCAAACCGAATGGAAGTTCGCCGAACATGGCACTTCCAAACCGAACCGAACCGAACCGAACCGAACACAAAGGCCTGGTTCGGATGTTCGGCAGAAAATTTTTAATGTTTTCGCAAGCTAATAAACTTGTCATTTTGTACGTAATCTTCATGTCATGATTGCTCATTTTATATTTACTTTTTTCCCATTTTCCGCCTTTGTGATTTATGCCTATCCAGTTGTGGGAGCGACTTCACTGGCGCCATTTAAATCCCAAATCCTGACCTCTGCTGCGTCGCGATCGCAAGCCATAAACAATATGCGTGATCTAGGCGCTGATCAAAACAAGTTCAGCTCAAACCCATTCAGACAAATTTTACAATATAAATAATGAAATAAATATATATTATAGTATGGTATTTATTTAGGAAAAATAGGGATTTTATATTTTTCCTATTGAAAATAAACACTTATAAAAAACAGTTATCGACGAGCCTGAGTTGCTATTCAAGATGGCAGCTTTCATGACTCTAATATCAGACAACAACCGTCTCGGAAAATCTTTTAAAAATATTATTTATTGACAAATTGAAAACATGATTCTTTTAAAATTGAAAATAAAACACGATTCAAGACGGAAATACAGATGTAAGTAGTACTTTTCTTCACAAATAATTACGTTTAGAGCAGTTTTTCTAATGTGAAAATCATGCTTGTCGGAAGCAGTGTTTTTCATCAGGAGTGGGCAGAAGTCCTACGTGCTGGTCGGGCCCGGCCGGCCGGCCTGCCCAGTGCCGACTGCCGTGGCTATAATGCTGATTGCTATAATATTACCGAACCCCGAACCGAACCAAGTTCGGTTAAAAATTGCCGAACTCTGCCGAACCGAACCGAACATGAACATAGCGTCTGACTTACAGCACTATTCCAGATCCAGATCCAGTCTTTCAAAAATCTTGGCTGCAGTAGACTGTTTAATCTCGACCATAGACATCAATGTGGTATAGACACGCCCGAGGGATTCAGCGAAATATTTCACAACCAGAGGGTACAGTTTGTAGTCTTCAATGTGAGTGCTCCCATCTGTAGCAAGACTGTGGGGATTACTCTTTATCACATCTATGATCCCACCCTCTGCATTTCTGCCTGAAGGTCAAACAAGGGACCTTGTCCTAGTTTGACCACAGCGATAATAATAATAAATAATAATAATAATAACAACAACAACAACAACAACAGCTAGAGGCAAGTTATGCTCTATTAAAAAATCTGTCATGTACTCCGCTTTATTTGTCTTTTTCGATTTTAGGTGCTGGACCAGGGTCGTATCATAGAGTTTGATGAACCCTATGTCCTCCTCAAGGATGAAAAGAGCCTATTTGGATCCATGGTGGTGGAGACAGGAAAGTCTGAGGCTGCCAAGCTCCTTGCAGTGGCCAGGGCAGGGTACTACGAGAGGAACCCCTCCAACCCGTATGACTTTGACATCGACGGTGACCTGAATGAGAGCTCTGCATGAAAGGGTCAAAGGACAGGAGGTCACAAAGTCATCACAAAGGTCATGAGGTCATTAAAGCTTTAAGTATTGGAGAAATGAGATGGGGGTGTCTGATGTCGCACGTGTTTATTGACCTGGAATTGACTGGACGGATATTGACCTTATTCATGATAAATATGAATGAGAAATTACTTTCCGTAATGAAGATATGATCATGAGTTGATTTTTAGAAAATTTCACAAAATGGCGCCTGGATGACATCACGATAATCTGATGAACTTGAAAATGTTTTGGATACGTCTTATAACAAGGACCTATGACTGTGCCAAAATTGAAAGAAATTGACCTTACCGATTTTGAGTAATCATCAGCACAAAAAGTGCGGAGAAATAAAAAAAAGAAAGAAAGAAAGAAAATTCTGACAAAATCAATAGGTAGTCTGTCTATGACAGAGCACCTCATTTTACCTAAAGAGTGCCTTGATGATATATGTTCCCTTTTTCATTTAAATTAAGACAGCTAAAAGTACTTAACTTAATTGAAGAAAAGTTGCAATACCAATAATGGAAGTGAATTTTTACACGTTATATATCGCATTTAATGTACCAATGTTTGTTTTTGTATTTCTGTTCTTGTAAAATATGTCTGAGTGTTATATCTTAATATTATGTTTGCAAAACAACAATGATCCGTGTCAAATGTACGTAAGGCAAATATTATGATTGAAATGTAATGGTGTAATGATGAACAGATTTCGCGTTTGGACAAAGTGTTTGCAAAATTAGATGAATTTGGGTTGAAAGTGAAAGGTAAAAAATGTTTTCTATTTCAAGATAGGATTCATTACTTGGGGCATGTAGTAGATGCTAGTGGCATTCGAGTGGATTAGAGCAAAATTGTCAAAATTCAAAATTGGCCTATCCCTCAAAATGCTGATCAGTTACGTTCATTTTTAGGATTAGCTGGATATTATAGACATTTTGTTAATAATTTTGCTAAGATAGCTGTACCATTGTTTCAGTTAATTCCCCCTTTAGTAAAAGGAAAGAAGGGAAAACTACCTAAGTTTGAGTGGAATGCTCTAATGAACGATTCATGTAATTTGCTCAAAAAAAATTGATTCAGGCACCAGTTTTGAGTTATCCGGATTTTTCAAAAAGTTTTGTTTTAGAAGTTGATGCTTCCCTGAAAGGTTTAGGGGCTTGCTTATCACAAGTAGGGGAGGATGGAAGGCGTCATCCCATAGCATATGCTAGTAGGCAATTAAAAGAAACAGAAAAGAAATACCCAGATTTAAGTTCATTTAAATTAGAGTTGTTAGCATTAAAGTGGGCAGTAGTGGACAAGTTTAGAGATCACTTATTAGGAGTCCCATTTGTAATATTTACGGATAACAATCCGGGGCTACCGAGATACGTTGGGTAGCCCAGTTGGCACCTTTTAATTTTGGATTAAGTTTAGATCAAGTGTTAAGAATAGGTGTGCTGATGCCCTTAGTCGGTACCCAGAGTATCCAATTGTCAATCATGATGATATTACAAAAGAAGTTTTGCATTCATCTATTTTTAGAATTCAGCAGGATCGTGTAGAACCACTCACACCCCCTTCCAACCCTCCTAGTTTATTTCCTTCTCTAGGTAACATTAAGTTAGGGCTAATGCAGAGGGAGGACTCTGTGCTTGGTTGTATTTAGGCGCGTGTGGAGTATCGTTGGAAACCTGGGGAATACTAGGCTCCATCCGCATCCGAATCACCAAGAGTGAAACAACTCCTTAAGCAGTGGTCCTGTATAGACGTAGAAGACAATTTATTAGTTTGACATATCTCAGATCCTATTTTGGGAAAGATTACCCAAATACTATTACCCGATTGTTTGCATGAAGAAGTTCTGGTAAAAGCCCATTCAGTTTGGGGGCATCAAAGAAGAGAGAGAACTTATGCGTTATTACGTCGAAAAGTTTTTTGGTCGGGAATGTCGAGGGATGTAGCTAAACACGTCGCTCGATGTAAACATTGTTGCATCACAAAAGAGAGATAACCCAAATTAAGAACACCCCTTAGACATCTTTTGGCATTTAGTCCATTGGAAGTAGTCGCGATAGATTTTGTTAAAATAGATAAAGGTAAAGGTGGTTTTGAGGATGTTTTAGTTATAACGGATGTGTATTCTAAGTTTACTCAGGCAGTGCCTTGTAAAGATCAGAAGGCCACCACTGCAGCCAAAGTATTACAGGAGCATTGGTTTTTTAAGTTTGGTATCCCAAATAGGATTCATAGTGATCAAGGTAGGAATTTTGAATCTTTGATTATTGCAGAGTTATGCAAGTTGTATGGTATAAGGAAGTCCCATACTACCCCCTATCATCCGCAAGGTAATGCTCAAGCAGAGCGATTTAACTGTACACTTTTCGGGTTAATTAAGTCCTTGAGTGTCCAAGACAGGCACAAATGGCCAGAATTATTGCCACATTTGGTTTTTGTATATAACACCACCCCTCATACTTCTACACGGGCTACTCCATATTCACTAATGTTTGGGAGGCCTGCTAGCATTCCTTTAGATTTTTTATTAGGTAAAAATTTAATTGATTGGGATCAACACTTTGTGGAGACTCAAGCGGAGTTTTATTTCCGAGCTAAGAGCATAGTAGAAGATAATGTTAAGACTGTAGCTAAGCGTAATAAGAAGTGTTATGATAGAGGCATACATGTACCTCCTATTCAACCAAGTGTTGGTTCTGTAGTATACCTTAAGCAATGTGCTTTTCCAGGTCGTCATAAAGTTAAGGATACTTATATGAAAGATCCTTTTGTTGTAGTTTGGATTAATGAACATGAAGATGTATTTAGGATTCGCCCAATGCATGGCGGTCCTGCCAGAATGGTGCATCATACTTTATTAAGGATGTCACCCTTTGGTGATGAACCAGATGTTCATGTTCGTAGTGAGGATACAAGTAGTTCCGAAGAGGAATATGAGGTCAGGTTAAAGTTTCCTAATATACAACAAGCCAGAAGTGGGGTAACTATTACTAGGGACGCTCCTCCTCCTCACTGTTCGGCGCGTGCCACACAAGGCAAACGTTCAAATCCATATGGTCTACCCAAATCGGTTAGATAATGTAATTCAATTTTTTTTTCTGTTATTGGAAAAAAATGTTTGATGTTATAATTCCTTCTTTGACTATACATCTGGTCACTTGTTTTGGATAAGCATTTTTTTTAGAGGCTGGGCGCTCCTAACGATGTTTTTTTTACTATTTTCATGAAATACCTGTTATTTGGTCATAGTTTTGTGAGACGTCTCACAGGTAGAGTGCATGGCACTTTGCGAGTCCCAATAGATCAGGGCATTTGAGGGTCGAGTGTTTTGGCCAGGGAGGATTATCCTTCGACAGGATACATTCCAGACGAGAATATTATCTCAATTACATCCAGTCCTCACTGATGTCCAGATGTACTTATCTTGGACATGGGGACCAATGATTTGTTTTGCTCTGTGGGAGTTCTTGGAGGAGTTGGGTCGCCGGGGGGTAAAGCCCTTGGTGACCGTTATCCTCCCGGTGCTCCCACGGACAAATGTGTTCCGGGGTAGCCGTGTATCCCTGGAGGAGTACAACCAACGAGTTTGTTTATTCAACAAGTTGGGGGAGGGTGAGGTGTTCCGTCGGGACTGTGTCTGGGTGTGGCCTCATAGAGGCCTACAAGCACCCATGCAGATACAGTCTTGACGGAGTGCATCTGAACTCTCTGGGGATGCACGGTTATGCCCGGACGGTCAAACTGGCTTGTAAATTTTTCAATCGACATTTTTGGTGTTAGATACATGTATATTTTGATTTGATTCATGATTCCAATGTTTTCGCTGAAAATATGTTTTTTTTTTAGAAATCAAAATAACTGATATGAATATGTAGTTAGGAATTCAGTATATCAGAGTTCATGTGTAAATATGTTGGTGTGAAACTTATAGATTGGTTTACACGTATTTTATATTGTAAAGATAGAGGGTGACATCATACGGAGTACGTTGTGGAGGTCTTGGGATATCCAGCTCCATTAGTTGTCCTGTATGATGTATTTCCTGATATCATTCATATATTTGCGATGTACCAGATTATTGTTGCCAGATGTTTCGTTTTTTTTTAAAGCCATCCTGTTCCAAGTTGGCACTTACTGTTATTTTTTTGGGGTAACTGTATATAAAAAAATATAAAAAAATAAGCGGTTGGAGTCTACATTACATTTAGTAGACATTAATTATTGCATATATATCATACGTGATGTAATGTAATGTTAGTTACGAGTCGATTCGATTTGATGATTACACACTGCTGGTTGCAGTTGAAGCTGGGGATTTTTAGATCAATATATTATGCAGGGTTATGAGAATAGGTGTTAATTGTAGGTATATCATTGTATGTATATATATATATATAATAAGGCATGTCTTGCATCCAGTGAGATGTTTGGTTCTCATGATGACTCTTTGAGGACAGAGTGGTATTAGGGAATATAATTATGCATGTAGGTTGTTTGTATAGTGGTTACCGGGTGATCTGTAGATTTGTGTATCATATGTCATTGGTTGTGTTAAATTGTTTATTACAATTACCAGTTGACCTTGCGCGATGTCATTGTATTGTCGTTTTTGTTCTGGTTATACCTTTCCATATTTGGGAGCAGTTAAGATCGAGGGATGATGTTTTTGCTTGCCTTTGATTTGGAGGTCTAGGGATATCCAGCTCCAATGAAGAGGAAGGGCATGACATCATCCTGACATTATATTCTGTTGGCTGGGTTGCACTTACGGGGCGCGCAAGACATGGCGTTCGTGGGTCTTCCTGGTCGATTGGTTTAAAACAGATAGATGTTGTTGTTTAATGTAATTATGCATAGGTAATCAGTAATTGACATTGCAAAGAGGATGTTAGCTGTCATTCTTGTGTATTTTTTTTGAATTTTTGTTGTTGTTTTTCTTCTTGTTATTGAAGTGTTTGTTAATGCAGCCCAAATATGCTGTGTAGATGGTATATTGACAAAATTGTGCTTTAAAGCAACAAAGATATGTATTGCTTGGTTAAATGATTCCCAGTTGGTAATCTAATATTTTATCTCAATTTTGTGCGATCTCCAGGTGAAAGATCATTTTAGTAGGGGCGATTTGTGGCTAAAGGGGGCGCTAGAGCCATAGAAGAGCCGGGCTGGGTTGATTAATGGTACGATTATTAGTTTGACTTGGTATACACCTAAAAGTTAAATAGCATTAATTATGTTTCCAATAGTATGCCGGGAACTGGTAAACAACCCCTGGTTTTGAATTCTTGCATTAGATTAAAGTGTTCATTTCGATACGCACGTTGGAAATGAATTCCTGCATCAAGATGTACAGGTGTTCATTTCCAATAACACGTTAGACAATAGACTGTTTTGCCAGTGACGCGACATTCTCGCGAAGAGATAGACTCCTCCCATTTTTGTCGGTGACTAGTTCAAATTACTTGTATCTATGATGCTCTGTCATTGGTTATAATTAATTAAAGGTATAACTCCTCTTTTAATTGGTTGGATGACCTAAGGGTAATTGTATGTATCCCGTCTTGTAATTGGTTGGCTGCGTAAGGGTCCTCCTGGTTGGCTGGGTATATCGCGGGATATCTAAAACTCTTCGGGTGCTGTAGTACTATATGCCATGTGCGGGATTTTGTGGTGAGTTTATTTCATTCCTGTAACATGTTTAGTAGGATGTGCTGCTAGTTACGATCAATAGGGCCGCCCAGCCTCTGAGAGAAGCAGCTTATTTACAATGTTTATATAATAATAATAATACTCTTCGTTTGCAACGATTGGAGCTTCGGCTGACTTATATATTTAATAAAGTGGACTTCAACTGTAATTCCGAGCTTCTTGTGTTTTCATTTATATTCGAACTTGTCTTCTTCAACTCATTAACTGGCCCACCACAATAATAATAAAATAGATGTGTTTTTTTCTACAGCGAGAAAGACATGTACAAAGTTCCTTGGTGAATATATCAATGAAAAACTTGACTGGAATGACCATGTAAAACACCAGTGGGGGATCCAGGGCCCCCCCCGGAAAAAAACGTGTTCAAACACCTTTTACCTTTTTTGGGAGATGAGCCCCCCTCCCCCCTGGCGCTCAAGCCCCCCCCCCTTGTGTGCCAAGGGGGGGGGGGGGCTCATTTTCTATTTTTCTAATTTTAGAGAGCAAAACAAAAAATGTGCTTAATACAACCGAACAGGGGGTAGGGGATTTAATTACTGTCAGATGAACATATTCTTATACCTTTCGACATTGGCAGGACACAAATTGGTGTTGGGTCCAGGGGGCGGAGCCCCCAGAAGCTCAGGGGTTTTATACATTAAATTATCATCAGATGAGCATATTTTGATGCCTCATTATTTGTTGACACTGGCAGTTAATTATTCTTTCTTTTTTTATTTCTCTTTAATATACTTTTTTTTAAGTGGGGGGGGGGGGGGGGGGTCCAGGCTCTCGATCCCCGCCGTAATGGCTGTAAATCTCGGAAATTATGTCATTTCAGCATTAGATGTCCCCAAGCCCCCCTCCTCCCCGTATCAGTACGCCAGTATCTCCTCTTTTCCTTTTTTTCTTTCTCTTTCCTTCCTTCTATCTTATTTTTTTTATTAGGGGGGGGGGGCAACAGCCTTGGAGGCAAGGCCCTTTCGCCCCCCCCCTCCCCCGATCTCCTTCTTCCCCCTTTTCTTTTCTTCTTCTCTTCTTTCTTTCCCTTTCTCTCCTCTTTCCCTTTCTCTTCTTTTCCTTTCTTCTCTCTCTTTTTTTTTTGCAGGGGGGGGGGGGGGGGCAAGGCCCGCTCGGCCCCCTGGATCCGCGCCTGCCAGTGTTTTCCCAGCCATAGCATCAAGGACTTTAAAAGAGTACCTAATTCAAAAAGGGTATTAACTTAAAAGCGGAGCTCGTTCAGCACTTTTTTCAGTAGGATTACTAAGGGGATTAAACGTGAATTCCTGACATGGCAACACTTGGGTGAAATTCTTTCTGTTGGAGGGGGAGGCAGAGAATTTATTGACATTAAGTGCTTTTATCCTCTTTCTCAAACATCAGCCACAATAATAATTATATAATTGCCCAATTTTTAATATCGGGCCCCCGAATCCATTTTAAATTAATTGTAATAATTATGTGGATCGACTTTTTTCTTCATACTACTAACTTTATTTGATATTGGATTCTCTTTACTTGTTCTCTTTCCGCCTCTCTCTCTCTCTCTCTCTCTCTCTCTCTTTATCTCCCCCTCTCTCTCTCCCAGCTCTCTTATTATCTTTCACCCCCCCCCCCCGGCCCGCTCCCTCAGTTCCTCTCCTTTTATTAAAACAATAACATTAACAATGTATACTTCTAGTGAAATGAAAAGGGGTTGAACATCGATTTATATTTGAGAGATTAAAAAAAAAAAATGAAAAAAGAGCACTATATATAGGGCGTAGCCTATGTAGCTGGTCGAGCGCCTATCCGCAAGACATGCTGTGCTTCATTTAAAATCTCTGATTATTTTCTTCATATTAACTTCTAATGTAGATGGTGGAGTCGGAAAGAGATAGATTTAGTAATTGAAGAAAAAAAATTGTTTTGATAACTAATTTTTCTGAAAGACACTTGTTATAAAAACAGATGATATAGATCTATAGGCTATATTTATTTTTTGCCGGGAGGGGGGTCTCGTTCTGAATTTAAAAGATTTTTGGCAAGTCAATAATATCACTGACTAAAAAAGAAAACCCTGAATAGGATAAAGAAGAAGCCGGTGGAAGTCAAATATCTAACAGCTCTAGCTGAATAGGGGTTCTATATAATACACCATAATTCTATGACAAGCAAAAGAGAGGGCCGTGACCCCCCCCCCCTAAGATCCACTAGGTAGAGGTGTACTTGGCAAACATTGACCATAACAGTTGAAGTCCCCCCCCCTGCCCCCCCCCCCCCCCCCCGCGATTTCGGCCGGTGTGACCGCGTAGAATGTAACCCGCACCGATCGTCCGACTATTAGAGATCGATCGAGAGCGGACGATCGGTGCGGATTTTATCCGCGCAGAATGTCCGTGTCGGACATTCCGTGCGCGCCTCAAATGTCTGACGGACAATCTGTGCTGAAGAGGTCTCGCACCAATAGTCCTCCTGCCGCACCGAATGTCCGTACTCTAGTCCACACGTATACATTGTCAAAACAAACAGGGATGTACTCTCATTATCCCTGATACAAGTATAATTATACTTAATGAATGAAACGACTGGATAATCCATATTCAGCTTAACCAGCTAGCTAGGGATGAAACTACAGGCAGTGGCGGATCTAGTAGGGGGGATGGGGGGGGGGGGGGGGGGGGGGGGGTGGTGCAAATTGTTAAAATTTCGAGGGCCAAAAAAAAAAAGGTGCTCACTACCCCCCCCCCCAAGATCGCGGAGAAAGGCCTTTGCCTCTGCCCCCCCAGACCCCCCCCCCCCCTTCTCGCCAAAAAAAAAAAAAAAAAGAGAGAAAGAAGGGAAAGGGAAAGAGGAGAGCTAAAATGGAACACAAAAGAGGTAGAAAAAGAAAAGGGTGAAAAGAAGCAGAGATCAGTTGCGATTAATCCCATCAACATCGTGTGGATCGGGGGAGGGGGCGAAAGGCCCCTGCCTCCCTCACCAAACTTAAATGAGAGAGGGTGAGAGAAGTATGGGGGGGGGGGGGGAAGAGGAAGAAGAAAGGTAGGGGAGATCAGTTACAATTTTTCTTTCAAGCAAAAAAGCCAGATATTAGAAGTTAATCATTTTTTCCAATTTTGGTGTGATAAAATAATTATTGTTGGTGTTGTTGATGTATTGGAAATGGTTCCAAAGCACAATATGTCAATGGATTCCTCAAAAAAAGGAAAAAAAAGGGCCTAGAGTGAGGGGGAGCAGTGTAGGAAAAAACTGTTAGGGAGCCCCTTTGGGGGGCCCCAGGCGCAGATCTAGGATTTGTTAGGGGGCCTCAATTTCAAATTATGCTAGCCAAATATTGGTACGTAATGGTGACACCGGCAGTGGCGAAATAAGCAAAAACGTTTCGGGGGGGGGGGGGTAGAAAAAGACCCCGCACCACCCACTTTTTATGCAGGCCTCGCTGAACGTTTCTCTAAGTAGGTTGGGGAAGTAGTATTTACGATAAGGCAGAGCGTAGCGTTTATTGGCGTGGGGTCTAGGGCCTTTTGGCCCCTCTGAACTACAACTTGTTGGCGGCAAAATTGCAACTGATATCCCGCTTCTTTTCTTTTCTTCTTCCTTTTTTTTACCTCCCTTTATCTCTTCTTTTCCTTTTTCTTTCCCTTTTCATCATTCTCTCTTATTTTGTAATGGGGGGGGGGGGGGGTGACAGCTGGGATCCAAGACCCTTTCGGCCCTTGATCTGCTTCTTCCCCCTTTTTTTCCCTTCTTCTTCCTCTTCCTCTTCTTTCTTTCCCTTTCTCTCCTCTTTCCCTTTCCCTTCTTTTCCTTCTCTCTCTCTCTCTTTTTTGTGGGGGGGGGGGGGGGGGGGGAGGTCCTCCCGGCGCCCTGGATCCGCGTCTGCCTTTAGGGGGTATAGCTGCGCCTGCCGTCAGCTAGCTGAAAGTGTTAACAACTAAAAACACAGTGTTAACAACTAAAAGTGAACCAGGTAATCGGAGTGAGGCAAAGTGGTCTCGTGGATAAGCAACCGCCTAGTAAGTGGAAGGTATCGGGTTCGATCCCCAGCTAGTGTATTTTGTTTTAAAGCCCAAAAGCCAGATATTAAAAGTTAATCATTTTTCCAATTTTGGTGTGATAAAATAATTATTGTTGGTGTTGTTGATTGTTAATGTATGGGAAAGGGTTCCAATGCACAATATGTCAATGGATTCCTCAAAAAAACTTGAAAAAGGGCCTATGGTGAAGGGGGAGCAGCTGAGTGTAGGAAAAAGCTGTTAGGGAGCCCCTTTGGGGGTCTTTTTGATTTTTTTTAAATTTTTTTTTGGGGGGGGTCTTTTTTTTTTCTTTTCTTTTTTCTTTTTTCTTGGAGGTCGTCAGCTAGCTGGCGGTCGTCGTCAGCTAGCTGGCGGTCGTCAGCTAGCTGGCGGTCGTCAGCGTAGCCGGCGGTCGTCAGCGTAGCCGGCGGTCGTCAGCGTAGCCGGCGGTCGTCAGCGTAGCCGGCGGTCGTCAGCGTAGCCGGCGGTCGTCAGCGTAGCCGGCGGTCGTCAGCGTAGCCGGCGGTCGTCAGCGTAGCCGGTGGCCGGTAGCGTTAGCCCCAAAGCCATGTCCAATTTTCAAACTACATTCAAGAGTCCCTTATTGCCAGGTCAAACAAGTTTTTTACATTTTCAGTACTACTTGCATCCATTTATTCAATCTGTACACTCCCATGCTATCCTTTTCCAGTCTGTAAACAACTTTACAACATGAATTCAATGATGGGCAAGGTTTTACTCCTCATATGAAAACGCCCAAACTTCGCGAGGTGAAACAAAGGGTCTTTCAATTCAAGTCTATTCAAGCCCAATATGGGCTAACAACTGGCCTGCATACCCGAGCAGAATCATTTTGTGCTCGACAAAGACACACAGCCTTGGGTAAAGAGGTCCATTATTATTATTTTTTTTCGTTATATTTTTTCATTGACAGTATACTATTAAATATCAGGAATATTGGATGCTCTGTTTCAAATACAGTCCAGATTGCCGAGCAATGAATTATCTCATGCTTCTTGTCCAAAAACCATATCTAACTGGTTTTTAAAACGGTATCATTTTAATTTCCATTTCCCAGCATTATTTTGAACTGTCCCAAAATCGCTTTCCTTTTTTTAAATGAGACTACAGCCTCATTCTATCCTTTTTCTATGGGGATATTCAAAGTGCG